TGTCAATTTGAGAGATTAATGCATTTTGCTAAAGCTGAACCTAAGCCTGATGCAGCTTTATCACCAATTTAATTAGACCTTTTTAAATATTGAAGAAAAAATATATCATTAAATAGTTAATTAGAAGGAAAAAATGAAGAAAAAATATGAAATAATAAAATTAATTAATAATAAAAGCAAATGAATAAAATAAATGATGAGCTTAATTAACAAAGAAAAAACAAAACAGCAAGCACGATAAAAAGAAAAAGAAAAAAGAGCTTTATTGTTTTTAATTAGTTTTTATAATTAAAAATATCACAATCCAAAACAAATAAACTGTTTTTACCGAAGATCAAGTTTTAAATTTGAGAGATTAATGCACTTTGCTAAAGCTGAACCTAAGCCTGATGCACCCATTGCACCAATTGAATTGTAACTTTTTAAATATTGAAGAAAAAATATATCATTAAATAGTTAATTAGAAGGAAAAAATGAAGAAAAAATATGAAATAATAAAATTAATTAATAATAAAAGCAAATGAATAAAATAAATGATGAGCTTAATTAACAAAGAAAAAACAAAACAGCAAGCACGATAAAAAGAAAAAGAAAAAAGAGCTTTATTGTTTTTAATTAGTTTTTATAATTAAAAATATCACAATCCAAAACAAATAAACTGTTTTTACCTAAGGTAAAGTGTCAAATTTGAGAGATTAATGCATTTTGCTAAAGCTGAACCTAAGCCTGATACACCTTCATCACTAATATAATTAGACCTTTTTAAATATTGAAGAAAAAATATATCATTAAATAGTTAATTAGAAGGAAAAAAATGAAGAAAAAATATGAAATAATAAAATTAATTAATAATAAAAGCAAATGAATAAAATAAATGATGAGCTTAATTAACAAAGAAAAAACAAAACAGCAAGCACGATAAAAAGAAAAAGAAAAAAGAGCTTTATTGTTTTTAATTAATTTTTATAATTTAAAATATCACAATCCAAAACAAATAAACTGTTTTTACTAAAGGTAAAGTGTCAAATTTGAGAGATTAATGCATTTTGCTAAAGCTGAACCTAAGCGTGATGCACCTTCACTAATCAAATTAGACCTTTTTAAATATTGAAGAAAAAATATATCATTAAATAGAGTAAGTTGCCATACAAATTTACAAAAAAGCGAGTTTAATATACCAGTTTTTATATTTTATAAAATTAAAATTAAAAATTTTTTTATGTGTTTTTTTCTATCATAGGTTTTCAAAATTTATATTTTTAAAAAAAAATGATATGTTATAAGAATATGTGGTATATATAATTTCAAATTTGACATTTTCTGAATTCAAAGCTTTCAATTAACTCAAAAGTAAAGCTAATTTAGCTTTATATCAAGTTATTAAGATATATTACATTTCGCCTTATATAAATTAAAAAGGCGGCATTTCGCTCTAGTTAATTAGGAGGGAAAAATGAAAAAAAAAAATGAAATAATAAGATTAATTAATAATAAATAAAATTAACAAAGAATCAAAAAATAAGAAATTATAATAAAAAGAAAAAGGTAAACAAATCAAATAAATTAAAAGAGCTTTAATGTTTTAAATTAACTTTTATAATTAAAAATATTAAAATGCAAATCAAATAAACTGCTTTTATTAAGTGTAAATTTTAATAGCAAAAAATGAAGAAAAAGTATCAAATAATACAAAATGAATAATAAATAATTAATTAAAAATTTAAATGAAAATTAAGTTAAAATAATAGCTAAAAAATTTTTGTTTTAATAAAAATCATTAAATAATAATGATAATTTCTATAATAAAAATTATTTATTTAAATAAATTGAAAATTAAATATACAAAAAATATTAATAATAATAAAAATAATATCTTTTAATTAAATATACCTCATAGCAATATGTACAACTTAATGAGATGAAAGTGAAGACCTTAAAAACTTTTTTTATAAATTAAAATAAATTTAAAGGATATTAATATAAAAATTAATAATTACATCTTCTAATCTATTATATTCTTTAATCTATTATATCATTTATTTATTTTTCAAAAATATTGAATAGCAATTTATTAAATTTGATTAATTTATTAATTAATTATAAATGGATAAAAAGAACAAATAAATATAATAATTAATTAATTATCAAATATAAATTTATAATTTGGTTTTATGAAGAGATATCACAGAAAAATTAATTTAACATTCACTATTTAAACTTAATATTTCTTTAATATTTGTATTTAAAACAAACGCTTAAAAATATATATAGTAAGAATTAGAGATGGTCAGTTATTTATTTAGTCCTATTTGAAAAAATTCTAGTTGTTAATGTTCTTAAATTTTATAAGAATAACGTTTATAAGTAGATTTTTCTGTTTTAGTTTTGTAATTTTGGGAATATTTATAATATTTCTAATATAGCAAGATGCCATACAAAAATTTCATCGTTTGTATTCCACTTTTTATGAAATATATTTTTTTATTTATTTATTAAAAAATTTAATGTATATATATATGTATTATAATATAATTATAATTAATAAATAATTTAATTTATTTTTATTTCAAAATAAATAATTTTTTTACATCAAAATTTTTTAATTTTTCTAATGGTTGATAATTTACCTGTAAAAATTAAAGATATTTTAGTGTAATAAATAAAAACACATTACTTAATTTTCGAATATTCTTTTGCTTTTTGTTTGTTTATTTGTTTTTCTGTTTGCTTATTAATTTTTTTAAGGATTTCAAATTAATTTGTATCTTATTTTGCTGCATTTTTATATATTGATTTAAAGTAAATGAGTTATTTAGCAAGTAGAATTATAAGGAGTTCACATAAATTTTTGATCAACAAAAATGTTGCTCAGCTTGTTCAAGTATAAAAAATGTTCTTTGCTAGCAACTAAGATAAATACAAGTCAGCCTTTGAATTTTTGAAGGAAGAGATGGAAAAATCAAAGAGTAGCTAAACTACAATTTAGTATGAACCATCAATTCCTTAAGAGGAGTTATCAACAATGAATAACTTGCGTAAATCAATTTAATAAGATATCGACTTAGGTAGATTCCAAAAAGCTTTGGAAAACTCTCTTTAGTATGTAGAAAAAGTTAAAAAACACTACGGAGTTAATCACCCAGCAACATTCTCAGCAATTAATAACTTAGCTTTAGTTTTCAAAATAACAGGTGATTTGGAATCTGCATAAGCATTATATGAGAAAGTTCTTGAAGGATATTCAAATATGTTTGGAAGAGATCATCCATCAACTTTAGTAGTCATTTAAAACCTTGCGAATCTATACAAACAATAAAAAATGTATGACAAGTCTCTTTATCTCTTTGAAGAAGTTCTTGCATACAAGGATTAATAGAGCGATGTTGATAAAGGAGAAATTGCTCTTTGCATGTCCTAAATGGCAGGTAAAGAAATTAAACGTTAAATTTTAAAATATTGAATGCTTATTTAAAAAGAAAAATATATTAATTTCTTAATTATTATAAAATATATTAATTAGCTTGTCTTAGAGAATTAAAGAAATATGATGATAGTATTGTAGTTTTAGAAAAAGCCTTGAATATTTTGATTGAAAGATATGGCGAAGTCAACACCCTAACTGCTACTTGTTAAAACAGTTTGGGTCTTACTTATAAGAAAGCTGGTAAATATAACAAATCTGAAGAGATGTATTTGAAATCACTAAAAACTAGAGAGGAATTGCTTCCAGCAGATCATCCTCATATAATTGCTTCAAAACATAATCTAGGTGAATTGTATATTGAACTCAATTAAACAGAAAAAGCATAAGAATATTTCATAGATGCAATGGAAAGCATAAAAAGAATGGAAGAAAGCAACTAAAACTGATTTATTCAAAATTTCATGAATGAATGAATGAATTAATTTATTAATGAATTGATTGATTAGTCTACATATTTTTATTCTTGTAAAATATAAGATGCTATTTTTCTATCATATTAATTGCTAAATACTAACTATAAAATTCATTCAAATAATATCCTACCAAACATACAAAAAATTAGATAAAGATTAATCTTAAATTATTTATATTGCAATTTCAACTTATCCTCTCAATTAAGTGAAAATCTTTTGTTTCGAGTTGCAAATTTCAATTGCAATTAATTTACTTTAATTTATTTGTTAAGAAAAGAGGAAAAAAAAGTAATAAATTTTTTACAAAGAAAAATAAAAAGATATTTTAATATCTTCAAACAGGAAAAAGTTATTTTCAAATTTATAATTAATTAAAAGAAGAAAAAATAAATAAAAGTAAAAAAAAGGAAGTTAAAGCTTGCTTAAAAATAATGATAAAAGTTTTTAATTTAACAAATTATGGATTGATGAATACAGGAATAAATAAGTTTTTAAGCCGATATCAACTCATTATTTTTACTGCAAGCCTTTAAACTATCCATTATATTACTTATATCTTGAAATATAGAATAAGTAATAGATCATGTACAATCAAAAAATACAAAATAAAATAAAACTCATCTAAATTAGATAAAATTCTCTCTTAGTCTTATAATATATAATTAATATTTTTACAATTTAGCATAATATTTTTAAGAAATTGAGATTGAAATACTCTTAGCGATTACTTTTAAAATTACATTTTACAACATTTTTAAGTCAGAATGATTTTCCAGAAATAAAAGAAGAAAAAAAAAATACAAACAGTAAAAAACAAAAGCTTGAATAAAATCAATAAGAAGATCAGAAAATAAAAAAATTAAATAAAATTAAATTAAAAAGAAAAGTGAATGAATAAATAAATAATTATAAAAGAATTAATAAAAATTAATAAATAATTAAAACAATAAATCAAAACATAAAATTAAAATTTAATATAAATTTTTACAGTCACATTCCATTAAATAATTTGTTTGCTTTCTTTTATCCTTTAATTTATTGATACTTCCCTGAATTTTTAGATTAATTTTTATGTTTTTTAATTTTGTTTATTAATTTTATAGAATCATTGAATTTTATTTGCATAATATTTTCCATTATAAAAAAATAAATACCAAAAAAGAATGTCTTAATTATAAGAAATTATTGAAATACCAAATACAATAATTAAAATAAATAAACAAATATCAATTAATATAAAACTTTAGTTTTTTTCCATTTAAAAACTTATTATTATCTTAGCAAATTTAATTTGATAAGGCGAGCTTTTAAGCTTTGCTTTATTTTTAGGATTTGAATTAGATGCTTTAAATACTTAACAAAACAATGATTTAAGGTATTATAAAAGGATTTATTACAATAATTTGTTTAATATAAATTTATTATTAGAAAGTTATTTTTATAAAAATATCTGTAAGGTTATTAATTAAAATGTTAGAAATTAACAAATTGTTTTATTTTATAAATTATAGATATTTTATATTTTATAGAGTGAATAAATTATATCTAATTATTATTTATGACTCGCAAAGTTTAGCTGGGCAACAAAAAAAGTTTCTTTATTAATTATTAATGAATATTATAAGTTTTATAAAATAATAGTAGTATTTAGTTTATTTTTTATTTATTTATTAGTTAGTTAATTAATTAATTCTTTAAGAACAGTTAAACCTGCCAAATTGGGCACACTTATTAGCTGAGAACTGGTTAAAAATAAGCTTTTATCCAAACTTAACTTTTCATTTTAATAATGCCGTATATTTTATTTAGATAAATTATTTTTCCCTACTTGCCAACTTTAGTACAGATTATTTTTTATTTATTTATTTCAATTCAAGATTATGACTTTATTTATTTAGTTATTTGTTCAAACTACTTTTAAGTTCATTCTAAATTTAAGATTCTATATCCACACTGCTTCTTATTTGTGGTATTTTAAATTTGGTTGATTTACTTTAGCATTTTGATTCTCTCTTGGCTTTTTTGCTCTTCTTCTGGAGGGTAAAATTTCTCAATAAAGTACTCGCTTGAGGCAGAATATCCTATGTTAGATAGGATTTCAGTTTCCTCAGTTCCGTTATTTAGAAAGACTTTTTATATGAACATTTAATTGGCTAGATTTAAGATTTAGTCATCATTTATCTGTCCAATTACCAAATAGTCGTTGAATCTGTCTTTGTAATTGCTCAACTTAAATCTTTCTAAATTCAAGCTAAGTTTAAATAGATAGTTGTTAATAGAGTAAGATGTTATATCCTTTTTGAAGGTTGAGTACTCAATATCTTATTGTATTCCGCTTAGATGGATTCGATTCGCTTACGTTCTATTCATTATTTGTTCTAGTATACTTCTATTCATGATCACAAGTCCATTTTCAAGCAAAATTTTTGTAATTTCTGCATTATCTAAATTTCCAAATATCAGTTTAATCGCATTCTCGCAGACTCCATGGATGACTACTTCATATTGATCATAATTGCCTTTCAAAATAGAATAAAAATAGAACTTATTTTCTTAAATTTTGCTTTTTAAAATGTAAGAAGCTTTTTATAAACTCTATTCATAAGTCCACTCTCCTTCGTATTAAGGTCTGTAAAGAGTGCAGATGTTTGAGTTAACTGCTTATTGTGCTTCTTAATCATTCAATTACATAATCCTGTTGTTAGCAAGAATTTAATCTATCAGATCGTAGACATTTTTATATTCTTAAAGAGTCTCAGCTAAATAATTAATTTTTGTATCTCCTAAAGTTTTAAGCATGCCTATAATAAAAGTAAAGTCTCTAATAGGATTTTCAACACGTCCAAACTCAATCTAAAAAAATTTATTTTCTTTTAGATATTTGACTGACTTGGTAGGCATGTAGTCCTTTAAATCAAGGCAGCTCCAAGTCTATATGTTGTTCTTTTTAATTTTATCAATATCTATAATAATATCTCCGCGAATTAAATATCTATGTTGCACATCAATTGTCCTAGGTAGTATGAACTCAAAAGCTTTTTTTATCAATTTCTAAACCTTCTTTTTATTATTCTTTTTAATCCTCTTTGAATCCATAATAATAGCATTCCCAAGCTTTTCAATTTAATTAGAATCAACTAATCTTAAGCAATCCACTTGATTCATTTTTAAATTCTTAATTTGACTACAATTAATTAGATTATCTTTAAATCAATAAGAAATTTTTTGATTTATATAAAAAAGTAATATTGACGATTGATTTATTTGATTGATGAATGTATTCATTCATTGATCATTAATATAAATTTATGATCAAATATTAAGCAAACATTTGTTTTATAAGTATATACGGATTTCTATGTATTTGATTATGTAATTTCTAATAAAAAACTAATCTTAATATTTTATAAATATTTTTCTATTTTTCTATCAAGTTTCTATCATTTAATGATAATTTTTATACAATTTTTCTATTCTTTGTTATGGTATACATTTAAAGATATCTATCTATCTTACTTACTATTTTCTTCTTTCAACAAGTTTAATAATGAATGAACCAATCAACTAATTTTGCACAAATTATTAAATTTAATTAATTTTGATAAAGTAAATGTTCATAAAATCTATGAAATTTGAAGTTCTACATTAATATAAATTGAAAATATTTTAGCTGATAGTTATTTAAATAAATTTTATATTTTTAAGCAAATTTTTTAGTCTATTTTTTGTAATTTTTAGAAAAAGATGTAAGAAAGTTACATAGATTTAAAATAATTTTATAAGAATCTAAAATTAAGAGTAGTAAAATAAAGATTAACATAGAGCGCTATGTAAAGAAGCACTGTAATGCAATAATTAATTTATTGATTTAGTTATTTATTTATTTATTGATTATTTTATTTAGTTAAAGAAAGTATGATAGTGATGGTGTTTAAGAGTTAGTTGTGGAGTAATAGAATTAATAAATAGGAAATATTATTAAGTTTGGATAGATAAATTTAAAATTAGGTTTTTTCTTTTTTTCTATTTTGGTAAGTGATTGATTGAGTGAGTGTGTAAAAGAGAGAGTGAGAGAAAGCGAGTCGATTTTTGATGACATTAGAAAAATCATACTGAATTATCAATTTGTTTAATTGCCATTCAAATCAGCTGATACTTTCGCTCAAATTTTGATTTTAATGATTTTCAGTGTAGAATTTTTCCATGAAATACTCACTTTGGGCTTGATAAGTTATATCAGAAAGGAGGAGCTTTTCTTCAGAAACACTAGTGTCAGAGACAAGTTTTTAGAAGAATAACTAATTCATCAGATTTTGCCTTTCTTAACTGTTTATCTTGGCAAATATGATGCTGTCATTAAATTTATCTTTATAATTGCTTAATCTGTATTTTTCATAGGTGAAGTTAATATCTAGCTTGAGGTTGTTGATTGTGATATTTGGCACTTTTCGTGAATAGGTAATTTGTTCTGGTTCTTAATTTTAGCCCAGATTAGACATGGTTTCAAATATTTTAAATTGAAGCACATCTGTAAAATCCTAACTCATGATGATCATACCATTTTGTAAGAGGATTTTTACAGTCGATTCGTGATCTATATTTCCTAAAATCATCTTAAGAGCTGTATTGTTTATTGCATAAATTACTAATTCTGAATAATCTTTGTGTCCTTTGCTGATAATATAAAAAAAGTTGTCTGGATCTTAAAGTTTTTCTTTTAGAAGTAAATTCGCTTTTTGTAAACTACAATCGAAGTTCCAATTTGAATAACTATTATCTTCTTCTAACATAATATCATTGTCTAATAACTAAGAAAGAGATTTGCTGTCTCTAAATTTGTCTAGCATAGAGAGAGCATTGAGATAATTTTCAAGTACTGTTGCGAGGTGATGAATTCGATTGTTTCCAAGACTGTTTAGCATTTCTATTATGAAATTAAAATTCTAAATCTGCTCTTATCCCTAATCAAAATGAATTTCATAATAGTTATCCAATTTATTGAACAAAACCTCTTTCGCAGGTTTGTAATCGTTCAGGCTGAAAAATGCTTGCTTGTAGGGTACTTTATCAGTTAAAAAATCAAAATCTACAAGTAAGTCACCACGAATAAAATATTTATATTCTCCAGAAGGAACTTTGCATAGAGTCGCTATGAGCTATTTAGCTCTTTACAAGTCACGTTGCTTCTGTTATAGCTCTAAAGCTCTTTTGTTAACTCTAGTTTTATAGGTTCTCTTTTTTTTTTAGATTTATTTACTCTCGCTAGCTTTCGCTATTTCGTTAATTAGCTAATCTTTTTATTCTTCCTCCTCCTCATCTTAGAAATAGAATTAATAATTGTAGTCTGTCATTTATTTAGTTAGTTATTTAGTTATTTCTTTAATTATTTTGTTTTATTTTTTTCAGCTTAGTTGATTTTTGATTCAATAAATAATAAGTTTTTTTTTGTTTATAGCAAAAAAGTGAATTTTCTTATCATTACAAATAAATAATCAATAAAATCTTGTTTTTTTGTTTGATTAATTAATTGTTTGACAAATATATTCATTGTAATCCAAACTAATACAGTAAATGTACATATCATCAAAAATCTTATTTAATTTAAATGAATCGATTAATTTGTGACTAATATTCAATTTATATAATATCTTTCTATTTCTCTCATTTCATTTTATTAGTATTCCCAATATTAATTTGACATATTTTCTTCTAAACTGAGTAAGTAAAATATGTAAACCCTCTTTAAATGCTAACTTCGCTCAACTTATATTTAATTAACACAGACTAATAAAAACTTAAAGTAATCTAACATTTTTATTGTAAGAATTATCTCACTCACAGTAAGCAATAAACAAGTTCGCTCTAAGTTGCTTCATAAATAAATTTCTCTTAAAGTATAAATAGGAAAAGCTGTATATCCCTCTAAAGACTTTAGAAGCGGCTGGCTGATTCGTTTTAGGAAATAAAATTCTATTATAGCAAGCTGGTTTAATTGATAAAATAGAAGCAGGAGGATTCAATTGGGTTTAATTTGGTAACAAATTAGCTAATTTTAATTTGGTTTTTATAACTATATCTGCATTTATCAATTTAATTATAATATCGTTTAATAGAATTAGTAATTATCCCCCAGTAAGCAAGTCTTTCTATTGCTTATTATACTATTCACATTTTCGAAATAAATAAACAAGTAAAACGAAACAAAAAATCTAGTGATTATTCTAGATCAAATTATCATACGCCTACTTTATCATAAAACAATTTGTGATAAAATTTAAAATAAATGGATATATAAATGTATGTATGTATGAATGAATGAATGAACAAAAGAAAGAAAGAACACCAATAATTGTTACAACTTAGCAAATTTCATTTTTAGTAGAAAATAAAAAAATGGAAATAAAACTAAAGATTTAAATAATTTTTTAAACTCATTTAAATTTAACATTAAAGTAAAAAAACGAAAACCATTCTTTTATTCTAAGTTAAATAAATTCCTTTTCTACTAATTTCTATTTTTCTATTCGTTTTAGGTTTTAATTACAGATTTCTAATCAGAGTCAGCTGCTATTTTATTAAATTTCTATTCAATCAAAAAAAAGTATTTTTTATTACCAAAACTGTATTTTAAAAAAAAAAATCAAATTTTAGAAAAAATTTTTTTTCTAAAACTAAGAAACAGACCTATTTCTGACAGTAAAAATATAGTTTTATCTGGATGTGGAATCAAAAATTTCTTTAAAAAGATACAAAATGGTATTTTTGCATATAAAAATGAATGTATTTACAAAAAAGGTTAAAAAGTTAGTGAGCAAAAAAAGTAATTAAATTTAAATAATTGAAAACAAGAAAATCATCAGTAAATAGGAGAAAATTTATCTTGATAAAAAGTTGACAAAATGAAATTTTTATTAAATCCATTTTTAAAAAAACAAAAAAAACAAATAAATAAATAAATTAATTTTTGAATTAACAAGAAAGTTTGTTTTATTTTTCATAAAAATTAAATATGATTTATTTAAAATCTTTTTAATAAACAGAGCAAAGAAATACATTTCTCAAATAAATGAAATTCGGGTAATATAATAAAAATTGAATAAAATATGATTTAGTTAAAAAATAAGAGGAATTTTTTATATCAAGAAATCTGAAAAAGATATTTTTTGGATGGATTATAAAATAAGCAATCAATTTTAAATTAAAAAACACAATTTTTAAAAATTCCTTTTATAAACAGAAATTTACATAAAAAACTAAATAAATGTTTAGGAAACGAAAATTATTTTTAATACTTAAAACTAATCAAAAAATGCATGAATAGAAATAATTAAGTATATATAAATAAATAAATAAAAAAGTGAGTGAATTAATTAATTAGTATATGAAGGAGTAATATTAGTTTAATTAATTGAGTTATTTTAAATTAAATTTTTGATAATTTTTGCATTAAATATTATATAAAATAATAGAAAAAATACACAGTTTTATGATAGATTGATTATAGATAGATATATTTTTTACTGCTATTAAAAGTTGAGTTTTAAATATAAAAATTTGGATATAAGTCTAAGGTTTGAGAGAGATGGTAAAAGTTTTTATTAAGATATAATTGGTTATGTTGTTATTAATTCATCTAATTTGTAGAAATTGAAGTTTTTTTATAGTTTTTTTACAGATGTTATTTCATGCATGATTGTTGTTTATTTTATCTTAGTAGAATTTTTCCACAAAAACTTCTGATTGGGCTTGATACTAAATATCCATATAATTTTATTATAACATTTACTGGGCCTACTTCTATTCTTCGAGTCTTTTTAATAGTAATCCTAGCATAAAATTGTTGTCATATTTTTTAGGAGAAATAATCAGCAAATAATCATTGAACCTGTCCTTGTAATTGCTGAGTTAGAGCTTTGTAAAAGATATATCCATTGCATACGTACAATCGTTTATTGTAGTGTTTTCAAGGCTTAGGTCATAATTATTACTCAAACTGTCTTTTTAAGAATTGAATGTGTCATAAAGGAATTGCTCTCCACTGAATTATAAACACTAAAAAGTGTCAACGCTAGTTTTTTTGCTGAGCATTCCATGTCTTAGAATTATTTGAATTATTTGTTAGATATTATTTGTACCAAGTAGAAATTGAAGATATTCTCTAGAGTTAATCTGACTAAACATCTCACATGAGTCCTTCGATCCTCTAAGAATTCTGAAATACATGTACTTGTAGCCTTGAGGATTATTAATCATAATATTTTATATTATTTTATATGCCTTTTATCTGCTTTTTTCAAAATTCCACACATCATCTTCTTGGTTATTTTGAGCAAAGCTAAATGTTGAAGAGTTATTGGCTTCTGATTTATACAAATCATTAGGTGAAAGATTATTTTATTAAGGATATTTCTTCTTTTCTTATTAGCACTGATTGATTATACTGTCGTATTAACGCAAAGCTTGGGCTAGACTGTGAGCTTTTTAGTCTCCTAGACTGTCTAGCATATTACATATAAAAGAAAAATCTTTTATTGAATCACTGTTAATACCTATTTCCATTTCAATCATATCAAGATTCTTCAAATAATTGACACAAGCGGTTTATCTGTACAAGCGGAGTGTGTTCTAATCCTAAATGTAGATACCTTCTTTAATTTAATCGAAATCAATAACTATATTTGGAATTATAAGGTATTTGTGAGGTATCACAGGATCTTTAACTATGCATTATCTGAGTTGTTGTGTCTGAGGTTTTTGGCACATAATTTATGAGGATTTTTCGTTCTTTTACGATTATTGTTGAAATTCATCTTCATTCACATCGAAGTTTTCCCCATAACAAGTTGTGGAAATACTGCCCAAAAGATTCTTTTTGTCCTTCTTTGTTTATTTCTTAATTTTTCTTGTTTTTTCAACACCACATTATTTTTGGAAATAATTATCAAATGACCCTGTGCTTTGCAAATCCTAAGAGGAAGTCTAAGAACTAAGCGAAGGACAGAATATCGACTAATTAAGATAAATTGATTCATTATAAAAGTTGCTCATTTTCACTGTTGTAGCAATTTTAAAATATAAAACTAATTTTGTGCAAATAAATGGTTGAGTTAATAAGAGAGTGAGAGATTGCTTGGTTGAGTAGAAGAATAATAAGAGTTAAGTTTATTTACTAGGTTTCTTTAAAAGAATCAATCAATTAATTAATTAACTATTTTTCTATTTACTATTTTTATTATTGATTGATAATTTGTTTATTTATTATTTATTATTACTTTTTTTATTAAATTAAGCGATAATTGATTTGCTTTTTTGTTTTCTTTGTTTCTTTGATATTATTGATTTAGTGGCAATTTAATTGTATAATTAATTGATAAATAAATTGTGTGCTTTTTTATGTTTTTGATGAAAAACTTTCCACCTTTTATTTATTTATTGATTGATTGATTGATTTATTAGTTAGATTTATAATAAAGTATATTTGTTTGTTTTTTTAATATTTATAAAATTATGTCTTTCTTTCTTTTTTTAAATTTCTAAACAATCTTTATTGAATTTGTGGTTTACATAAACCATAAGTAATCGAATCTCATTTCATTTCATTTGTGCGTATTATAAACAAACTTTCTTGAAAAAATTTTAAATCCAGAATAATTTATTAATTAATTCAAATTCTTTTATTTTATACATTTCAATGCTTTGTTTTATTTTCCCCATATTTATTAATTCCATATTCTTTGATCTGAAATATTTAAAATTGCTTAATTTACGAACCATAGAACATTGTTGAGCATCCAGCTAAAAATTACACAAAAAATATTCATCCTTAGAAAAAATTGTGATTCAATAAAATTCATTCATACATTCATATGAAGATAAAAATGGTCAGTCTATTTATCGAATCTTGTTCAGTAAATTCTCTTAGCTAGCAAAAGCAATCTAGTTATTTTTAATTTTTTTCATACACAAATAAATTTGACATTAATTATTGAAATAGATCAACTTTAGAAAAGGTAGTAAAAAAATATAAATCTAATATAAAGAAATAATGTAAATTGTATCAGAAATAAATAAGAATATAAACAATCTAAATTGAATTCTAAAAAGTAAATAAAATAGAAATTATTAGTTCCAAAATAGATTAAATTAACTTTATTTATTCAGCTAGAAAAAAATATTAAAAAACTTCAAAAAGATTAATTTTCTCTGATATTTATGATTGATTTTCTTTAATATATATTTAGGTATGTATGTTTAAATGATTAATTTACTATCAATAGTTAATAATTTTAACATTATCAATACAAGAAAATTATTATTTGTAAAGCTAAAATTAATAATATTAAATACTGATTTAATGTAACAAATAACTAAATTACTTTATTTTAATTTATTTAAATGAAAATTTTCAATATTTTAACAAAATCATTTACTATTTTTGCAAAAATTATTTCTTTTTTTTTATAAAATCACTTAAAAAAATTTTTAAATACTTTTCAAAAAAAATTCAAATTAGTTCTTTGTGTGGTTTTAAACGAAAAAAGTATTTGTTACTATATCGTATTAAGAATAACTAAAAAATATTTACCTAAAAAGAAATTCATTTTAATTAGATTGAGCTTTTTTATATTAAAAATTGAAGTTAAATTCTACTAGTAAAGGAGTAAATAAAATATTTTGTGGTATTCTTTATTTTCAAATATCTTGAAAATACTTTAAAATTGCCTCATTACACTGAATCAGAGAATGTAACTAGAACATGTAAGGAAATTCATTCTTTAAATGTGTAAGTGCTTCAGAAAAAAAGTGCTATTTATGAGTTAGATGTTATTTAATTTGGAGTATGTATGAAAGGCTTTTTAAAATTTAACAGAATTTAGTTTGATAAATTAAATTCTGCGAAAGGGAATGAAATGAAATGAGGTTCATCATGGCGAGGATTGCTGTAAAAGATTATGTAATTTTTGCATATTTTAATTAAACCAGTAAAGTATTAACAATTTTATATAAATTCATTATTTAACTTTCCACGCTATAAAATAATACTAAAAAAAATATTTAAAGGTTTTGTGACCATAGATTATATTTAATGATTCTCTGTAATCTTAGTATCTCAAAACATACTTGCTTTGTTTTATTTTCTTTTTGATTGATTAACGAATTCGAATCATTCGTACTAGATAAAAATTAGAATTCATAAAAGATGAAAAAGAGTCATGCATGCATATCACTTGATTTATACAACAAAGTGTAAATTAAAGATTTATGATGTCATATGGAAAATTAAATAATTCAATCGAATATTTTAACAAGTAAAATATTTGCAATTTATTTCGCAACAAAGCTAAACTTTGCGTCTAAAATGAAATAGCCAATTATTTAATAGATGCACTGAATCAAATTGCCTCTTAATCAAAATTTAGGCTGATTTTATAGTTGTTTTTTGGTTGTTATTCCTGAGAAAATTAAGCGATTCGATTGATAGATGTAAGTTAAACTAATTTTCAATATTAGACTTGATATTAATTTATTTATTTATTTCTTTATAGTTCTACTATTTTCAGTCTTAATTAATTAATTCTTCTAAAAATATATTTTTGAATTCTTTATTTATGTAAAAATTGTGGAATCAAAAAAAGTTAATACAAAAAATTTAATTAATAAATTGTTACTTTCCAGGTTGATTCTGCTGATTCTTTTTTTTTAAACCTTACCTGCAAAACTAAAAACTAAATTACTAACTCTCTCTTATCTCAAATATCATTTTTAGCCATAAAAACTAAAATATTTGTTTTGTTAATATCATTTTAATTTTAACTTCTTATTATGAATTTAAAGGGTAAAAGCATTTTAGAAGGTTTTTAAGCTATTTATGCTGAATATGATAGAAAAAAATATAATTCTTATCTTTTTGAGTTGTAAAATACTGATAAAATATTAATAAACCTTATTCAACCAAAATTACAAGTTGAATTTGGCTTACAACTATTCTTTAACAAATCTTTCGTCTTTACACTTTTCTTTCTGATAAATCTGAAAAGATGTTAGATGAAAATTTAATAGCTTTCTAGCTTAAAATCATGGAAATTCTCATTTTTAGGATTCTTTGAAAATAAAATTCTTATTTATAATAAGCTTTTAAAAAATTAAATAAATAAAAATATTAATTCTACTTTGATTGAATTTTAAGGATTTTATGGAAAATTATATATCTCTTTAAATAATAGTTCATTTAAAAAAATTTCTAATATAGACTATCAACGAATAACAAATAAAAACTATAAAATAATAAAGTAAATACTTGATAAATTTTAAATAAGATTCTTTTCTTTGTCTTAATAGCTTATATGATTTCACAGTTAAATAAAAAATTATCATTAAATTAGCATCATTGTCATAATTACACCAAATCTTTTCAGTTTGGAACTTACTTTTAAGGAAATGAGTATCAATTTGCTCTAAGTATTTGTAAGTACAAATGAGTACTAGCAATAAGATATTTTATTTCATAAAAATTTGCTAAGTGGCTTTATGAGAAGTAAAAATTATTTGAAATATAATTTTTGTCGAAAGAATTTCATATTTACTGCTTTATTTTTAATAGAAAAAATTTTTCTTTAGTATAAAATACTTGAGATAAAAAAAGTAAAATATGAAAAACAACATCAATTTTAAGTTCATAAAAATAATTTTGCTTTGCTGAACAAAATTTTTAAACAATCAATTAAAATATTTTAACATTTGTATGAAATAGTTATTTGTTTTCAAATGAGTTACAATCTAATTCATTTGTGGATTTAAAACTCAATTAATTAAAAAATTTAATAGTTATACCAAAAAAATGCAAAAATTGAAAAATTAAACAAAATATTTTAATAAACTCGGTAAAAGATTCTATTTTTCTGAGTATTTCACTTTTTTAATGGTTTTAAAGTTAGATTTGTAGAAAGTGGTAAAAAAAATAATGTAGATTTTTCAATTTTATTAGTTGATTCAAGAGACAAAAATATTAATTACCAAATAAGAAACATAAAATCCTTTTTATTTACATTCTAAATGTAAGTAGAAATGATCAAAAAACTAAAGCAAATCTAAATAATTATGCATTAATTTGATAAAATTAAGGTAAGAATAATTGCTTTTGCAAAAAAGATTAAAATTAATTTTAATTGTGTAAAGAATATGTTTTATTGTTCGTTTATAGCATCTGTGAGTGAATTAAATGTTAAACATGAATTTATTTGATTTACTTTAAGTGTCACCTTTAATTTTCATAACTAAATTGAATAAATATAAGACAGAAATAATGTTACTTTATCCTTAAATAGTGACACACTTTAACAATTGTAATCATTAATATTTTTTAGCTTACAAATATATAGGTGTTTTCATTCATTGATTTATTTATTTATTATTAATAGAATAAAAAAACTCTATCTAAATTTAGTGATAAAAAACAAAAAGAAAAAATTTCCCATAAACTTAGTATGATCAAAACAAGCAAGCAAGCAAAACAAAGAAATAAATTGAATTAATTAATAATTTTACTCGAAAGCAATTTAATCAGTAAATAAATAAATAAATTAAATAATCGAATAAGAGAAAGAAAGATAAAATTTAGTGATTGATGCTTTGTTATAAATTTAGATTATTTTAATTACCAAGACAAGATAAATATATAATTATTATTACACCATGATGCACTTTAATCACACTTAGCTTTAAATTACTTCTTAAATCCTTAATTAAAAAAAAGCAAACATACAAGAATCGCTAATTCTTTCATTTATAATTTATAAAGCACTCGCGATTTACACTTAGTTTTTTCCACACAAAATAGTTGCAAAATGTAAATAGTGTTTTAAATATTTCTTTGTATATTTTTTTATTTTAATTTTTACCACATTTACTCTTTTTAGAAAGCAAGTTACCCAATTACACTTTTAATTTAATGACAATTGTTTTAGTAACTTATTATCTTAATATTTTTTGAATGATTACTTGTCCTTAGGATCTTTTTTACTGCGACTCTATTTATCATAAAAATAAATAAATAAATAATTTGAGTTTACTTAAAGATTTTATATTATTTTATATATAATTTCTATTTTAAAAGTATTTTTAAATAAATACAAATAATTTCTTTAGTTATTTAGTTAGATCCTTGCAAACAAAAATAAATAAAGTAATATAAAAAAGATTTTAATCAAAATTAATTAATATTTATTCACATATTATTTACACTACTTCATTTTTTGTTTTATTCTTTTAATACATTAAAAATAGATAAATCTAATCAGCAAATTAAATAGTTTAATTTTCTTTAAATAGAAAGCTAAGATTAGTTTTTATGGTTTGCATTCTTAATAACAATCTACTCCATAATAATTTATTCAATCAAAAAGAAATTTACTGCAGGTATTTCAAAAAATTTGAAATACCATAAATCTTTATTAATTGTCTCCAACACAATAACCTTTCTGATAATCAAAAATTAAGATTTTAGTATTGAATCTTTGTTCACTTGTTTACCTAAATCCAGGACAGAAGGCATGAGGTTTTATGGTAATAAAATTGCTTTAATAGTTTTTTAATGAGTTTATTTATTTTTTTAAGATATTTTGTTTTTCTATAGCAACTAACTAACTAGCCTATTTAATAAAATTTATAAAAGTTGTAACAATCTCTAAAGATTGCTTATCAGAAACTTATAAAGCAAAATCAGTTAATCGCAAAAATCCACTCTTGATTTTAAATAAAAGCTAAAAATTTACTTTTTTTTTAATGTTTTAAAATAATTTAAGAAATATAAAAATTAATAATTTGGATATTTGTTATGTCAATGTTTTTTTAATTTTTTTATAGCCAACTTATAAGTGCAAAATAAATTAATACTTCTACAAATAATATTAATTAATGATTATTCAAAGTATTTATCCAAAGCTCTTAGAATTTTAATAGAATTAATTAATTTCTAAAAATTGTAAAATAATTTTTTCTTCTTCAAATGTATTAGTAAAAATATAACTTACTAGGCTCAATTTAGAAAAGAGAAAAATTGATATTTAAGTAATGAAAATATATTTAACATCATCATATAGATTTATTAGTTTAATTGATTTCAAATATTAGTTAGTTACTAATATAATTTAGAATCTTAAGTAAATATTCAAAGTTTATTTCATTTTAGTTCATAAAGTATTATTTTAAAATCAAAAATTTTAATTTTCAAAATAATAAAAATTATTTTTGAACATGATAATTTGATATTAAAAGAAAAAAGAAAGAAATTAGATTTGCATTTTAGAATATGGAATATTAGAAAAATATAAAATCTAGAAGAAAGAATAATTATTGATTGATAGATAGATAAATTGATATATTTATTGATCAACTAATTAATAATTAAGTTAAAAGGGTGAGTGAGTGAATTATACACGTACGTAGCATTTAACTAGCTTATCTATCTATCTGAGCGTTGGTTTATTCATATTTACATTAAGATTGAAATAACACTAATTGAATATTAATAGAAATTTTCCTTTATTTGCCAAATTTTAATTTAGTTTTATAGTTTGTCTGCCTGATTGATTGATTAATTGATTTTATAAATTTAAAAAAAAAAAATAGATCGATTTATCTTTTAAAGAGAGTTAAAAAATCCTTTAATTAGTTTTTAAAAAGCTTAAAGTTTAAAGAAATGAATCCATTTAGCAATCCCCACATGTTTGAATAGATGAAGAAAAACATGACTCCTGAAATGATGCAAAACGCCAGTTAATAAATGAACAACATGAGCGATGATGATTTGAGGAGACTTGGTTAACAATCAGGTAAGAAAAATTGATCTATTCAATTCTTTTAACCTTATTTAAAAAAGTTAAAGAGTGAAATTTAGTAAAAGAATAAATATTTATAATCATAAAGGTATGAACATTAGTCCTGAAATGATGAGAATGGCATCTAGTATGTTTAGCGGTATGGACGAGAGCCAGAAGAAAAATATGATGAATATGGTAAATAATAGCATTTGATTATGATGTGAATTTAATTTAATTTAATATTTTTTCTTTTGCAATTTAATTAATCAGGCATAGAATATGGATTAAAACTAGTTTTCCTAGGCCTAATAGCAATTTAAAAAATAGCAGCCAACAACAGCTTAGCCTAGCTCTTCTTCTAGACCTGAACCAAAAAAAAATTAAAGCACTCCTAGCCCTCCTGTTGACAATTCCCTTTATCCTTAGATAAATTAATTAAAAAACAAGGGAAATGAGAAATTCAAATAGCAGAATTATGATGAAGCAGCATAGTTTTACTTAGAGGTATAAAATTTGTTATTTTTTATATTATTAGCGACTAAATAAAGCATTAATAAATTGATTTGAGTTTAGATAATTAGTGAAGAAATGAAAATAATATCATAGTAGAATAATTAATGAGTCAATTAATTAATCATTAAAATATTATTAAAAGGCTATTATCAGTATAGATGAAGAAAGGATGAAAAAGCTTAATACTATGCAAGAAATGGAGCTAAAAGAAATTGAAATTAACTGTAGAAATAACTATTGCAGTGTAAAAGCCAAGCAAAACGATTATCTTAACATGCTTACTCAAGCCCAAGCTGTTTTAAAGCTTGATCCTAATAATATTAAGGCTAAATTCAGACTCGGATAAAGCTATTACGGATTAAAAAAATATGAAAGAGCTTTGGAATTATTAACAGAAGCCAAAAATCAATCTCCATCTGACTCTGTTAGTAACAAATTAGCAAAATTTAAACATATTTTTAATAATAAAACATTAATTTTAAAGTTCTTGATATCTATACAAAGTGCAAGTCAGAAGTAGATAAAATCAAAAAAGAAGCTGAAGACAAATTGTAACAAGAAAATAAGAGCAAACAAGAAGATGCCCCAAAGCAAAATAACGAAAGTGAGTTGAAAAACAAATAAGAAAAATAATAAAAGTAACTTTAAATTATCATATAATAATTATTTTGTATTAAACAAATATTTATTTATTTATTTAATAGGAAGGAAACCAAAGTATAGAATGTAGTAAAAGAAGAAGAAATAGAAGAGAAAAAAACAAACAATAAAGAAGAAGGTATTTATTTACATATTAAAATATTTTTGGAAAGCTAATTTATTAATTTATTGATAAAACTAATATTTAATAAATTAGTCATCATAGAAGAAGTCAAAGAGGACAAAAAAGTTGAATAATCACCCAACCCATCTTCAACCTACTTCAATCCCAAAAATATTGATGTAGAAACTATTAAAAAGCAATAAGAAATGATGAAAAATATGGTAAATTATTAATTTTTGATTTATTATCAAAGTCTTCATTTCAAATATTTAATGCAAAAACTAACAAAGAATTTTATTTTGTTTGAACTTGTTATTAGTTTTGTTAAATAAAAATAAAAAATATATGAAAAATTATTTATTAAATAAGAAAAATCAAACTGATAAGGTTTTGGTAGCTTTTATTCAGTTAAATGTGTTAAAGATTTTGTTAAATATTTTTCATTAAAATGCTTAATGTTTTGTGAATATAATAACTAACTAACTATTAAACTTTAATTAGGATGATAGTTAACTTGACTCAATGGCCAAGATGATTTAAAATATGGATAACGAAACAATAAGACAAATGTATAAAGCTTAAGGCATGGACTTATCTGATGAATAAATAAAAATGATTAAGTCTTCCACTAATAAGGAAGCATTAAAAATGGCTACTTAAGCTTAACCAGAAGAGTTGCAAAAGAAGAATCAAGAAGCTATTAGACATGCTTAAGCAAATCAATAATTTAATTTATCCTAGCATGCAAATCCAGAAACAATTAAAAAGAGCTAAGAACAACTAAAAAATATGGTAATTTCATTATAAATAAACATTCAAATCTTATCCAAATAAATTATTTATAAATTTACATAATTAGGATGAAAGCCAAATTAATAGCATGGCAAATATGGTTAAGAATATGGACAATGCTGCTTTAAAATCAATGTATAAAATGCAAGGTATGGATTTAACCGATGAATAAATTAATATGATGAAAAATATGATGACTCCTGATATGATCAAAGCAGCCTCAAGTATGGACCCAAGTTAAATTCTCAAACAAGGATAAGGTCCAGCTACATTCCCAACTTAGCCAACCTAATCCACATCCTCAAATGTATCAAGTACTGGTTCAACAGAACCTCAACCTTAAGTCTCAGCTAATGCATGTAACAATAGCATTATTTTTAATTTAGAAATTTATTTTTCCCAAAAAACTCTTAAATAAACAAAATACATAAAACCATCTTTGGTATTTCCTTTAAAAATTTTTAAACAAATTCTAATACTATTTACATTCTTTGATTGTTAATAAATATTGTAAAAAAACAATAATTTTAAGTTAAATTAAATGAAATTTTTTTGTTTTTAAAAATGCAAATAATTTTATCATTAAGCTAATTTTAATTTATAATCGTTAAAGAATAAATGCCTGATATGAGTAATATGGGATCTATTTTAGAAAACTCTTAAATGCTCGATACAGCTTTAAACATGCTGATTTCTAACCCTGAAATGTTGAAAATGATGACAGCCTAAATGCCCAATCATCCTTTTGCTAACTATTTAAATAATGCTTCTCCCCAAGATTTGCAAAGATTAGCAAAAATAATAAAAAACATAATCCCTGCAATTAAATATATCTACAAAGGATATAAATTAGTTGTCAGATTTAAAAAACCTTTATTAATATTGATAGTAGCATTAATAATCAGATACTTCCTATTTTGAAATAAACATTTATGCTTACAAACAAACTTGTATTTTAATTCATATTTTTATCAGTATTTATTCCTTTATCCTTTTATTCATTAGTTCAACTTTCTCATTTCTTTTTGATTACTTATCATTTTAATATTAATTAATTTATTCAATTTTACAAATATACTCTAAATCTTCAAAAGAGGAATCAACAAATAAAAGATAAATAAACAAACAATAAATATTAAACCATAAAAATTTTTTTTTTGAAGTCAAAAATTGTGATTAAATTTATATTTTTATATGTTATTTAAATATGTATGTATGGATAGGAAAATTATATTTAGATTTAATTTTAATACTTATTTATAAATTATTTTATGTAGAATTTTTATTATTTTTATTAAATAATATGCAATTTATCGAGTGATGATGGATATGCAAATATGTTCCTAAAGGGATTTTATTTTTTAGCTTTTTAAAAATATTGTATTCCATATTTTACCTTAAATTATTAAAGACTTTATAATGAATGGTTCACTTTAGCAACCAAAGAATTACTAATTTTTACTACTATTATTAACTAAAATTTTGATAATAAATCAACTTTTTAAGAGATTTTAATGCTAATAAATATTAGATATTCAATATCAAAAATTAAAACAAATACTTTCTTTTTATAATTTCTACCAAATATCTTTAAAAGAAATAAATAAATAAAAAAATAGGCAGTAAGTAGTAAATTAGCAAATATTTAAAAATAAGTTTAACAAAATGGATTAAGATCATTAAGGTAATTATTTATAAAAATAAGCTGTTACTAGTTCTATATAACTATATTTTTATTCAATTTTAGGTACAGAAAACAATCCAAATAGTGTATATAGATATTTATTGATTTTTTTAGAAAAAATAAATAACATGGTTAATCTTAATTGAGTTAGTTATCATAACTTGAATAAATTGCCAAATTTTCTAAGCAAAAATGATCATTCATTAAAATATATCAAAGTATACAAATAAGAGTTTTGATGTAGTTTGTTTTTAATGTTTATAGGATTCAATTAATCAATACTAAGAAATTATTGACTCAATAAAAAGTGGAATCGAAGCATTTAAAAGCAACGATGAAGATTAGGCTATTATCAATTATTTGGAAGTAAGCATTTACGAAGAAGCAAGTAGTAGTAATAATAAAAACAATAATAAATAAAATAAAATTATAAGGCAATTCTTAGTATCGAAGATGAAAAAGAAAATGAGAAATTAACATAATAGCAAAGAGATGAATTGTAGCAATTAGAAATAAGATCCAGAAACTATTTTGCAGAAGTAAAAGCTCACATTAACGATTTTCACAGTGTTATTATTCAATCAGAAACTGTTTTAAAGCTTGACCCCACCAACTCTTAAGCAAAATTCATGTTAGCTAAAGGACTTCATAAAATGAATAAATTTGAAAAAGCATTTTAGATAATAAGTGAACTAAAAGAATAAACTGACAACATTAATAATAGAGAATGTAATTAGAATCTATATTCTAATATCTATCTATAAATCTATATAATTATTTATTTATTTGTTTTTATACGCTTTTTTTAATATAAAAAATAGATCTTGAGCTTTACAGCTAATGCGAAAAAGATTTACAATAATACATAAAAGAAGGAAAGAAAGAAGAGCAACAAAATTACAAGTAATTTCATTATTACTTTTTTAACTTATTATTTATAAATTCATATAATTAGTATCAATAAATACAATCTAAAAATGGGTTCTGGAATTGGAGATTAGGGACAGCAATTAGAGTTTTTATGATTAAAATTTCTTTTAGAAAACTTAATTTTAAATTAATATAAATTCCATTACTTTATATTACATTTATATTATATGTTTTTGTTGAAAAATAGATAAAACAAAAACAATTTATTTTAATAAATATTTCATTTTCGAAATTACTATATTTTATTTATGTTTGTTAAACTTTTGCTCAATTTTTTTTAATCTAAATTAATTAATAAATAATACAAATTTTATTTTTTTTGAAAGATTTATAAATATTTATGTCTTTATTATTTTTATAAAAATTAACCTCATTTAATCAATTTTTAAAAAATAATGTTCAATGATTATTAAAAATAGGAAAAAAATACAATATAAAAATAAACTACCCTATTTTTAAAAATTTTACACTATAGAATTGCAATATTTATATTATATTTTAGTATTTCTTAATTTAAATTATCATTAATTAATACAATTTTTAATTTTAAATCAATCTCCACAAAAATAAGTTTATGAAATCACTATTTTATGAATTGATTAATCACATTAAAACCTACTATCAAACTAAGAAATAAATTGGGAACCTAATAAATATGAATCTAATTATCGTTTTAAATAAAATAATATGAGCTAGCTTGCCTTATTTTAATTTGAGATTGAAATTTTTTATTTAATTTTTGATAATTACCTGTGTAAATATATTATTTTAAATTGAGTTTATTATTGAAAAATTTTTTATCTGTTAAATAAATTAATTAATATGGAAATGGTTAAGTTTTTTTTTTCTTAACTCGTAAAATCTCTAAAAAAAATAAATTTACTGACGTATGTTTGAAATTTATCATAAAAAAAAGTCAAAAAAAGCTTAACTGATTTTTTAATGAAATGCATTAAAATTAAGCGTAAAATAATTAAATTACTCATTTTTTGTTACAGTTATTGTAATTTTAAATAATTTTTTTCAAAATATTAAAATTTAGTTTCTTGAAAAAGAAAAATACGAAAAATCAATTAAAGTAAAGATGTTTTATCAATCTATTTAAATTCTGTCTTTAAGAATTTTAAGTATTAAATTTGGTAATCACAAATAAAATCAAAATTTGAAAGAAAGTACATAACTAAATATTTCATTCATTGATTCTTTTATTTATTTATTATGTATTATTTAATTCAAGTAAGAATTCGTCTATTTTAAATTCAAATCTATAATAAACAAAAGAAAGAATTGATTGATTAATTATAAAAGAGTTAATAGAAACTTATTGCTTTTGTTTTCGATTAATAAATTTAATTTAATATTGAAAGATGAAGAAGAAGAAAATTGTATTTTCTTTAAGAACAAAAATTTATTCTGTTTTTTATTTTTAAATTATTAAATAAAAGACAAATCTACTTGTTTTTAATATTAAAAAAAATGTTTTTATTGTTCAATAAGTATTTCAGAAGTATAAAAATTATCTTGAACTTTTTTGTTTGATGTTAAAAAAGAAAAAGAGTATCTATCTATCTATATGAAGTAAATGATGTAATACTATATTATGCACTATTGAATGTTATTCGAAAATAAGAAATATAAATTAATGTTAATGGTTATAGTAAAGCTATTCACGCACAAGAAATTAATTTGCATTTACTAATTTCTTTCATATTTAGAAAATGCTTAACCTAATTTTTTATTATACTAATCAACCACCTCAGATCATTTTATAAAAAGTTAAGTCTAAAATAAAAATTAAAATTGTTATTATACTTGAGTACTTCTAAAAAAGCATGTAAATATAAATTAAAAGAGTATCAGATATTTCTTAGAAATGTAAGCTAATTTAAAATTGTAATCGACTTTAAATATGAATTGTGTTTACTTTTTAAATGTGGAGAAGAGTTGTAAATTTTGATGAATTTTTAAGAGGAGTTACTGTGGTGTTGAAATAAATAGTATATATATATATATTTAGTAAATAAATACTTTACAGCCATCGAAATTATAAAAAGTCTTTAACATGGGTAAAACATATTTTGAATTCAAATTAAAACCTTCCAGCCAGTCTTCAGAAATGTAAATAGAAATTTTCACATTAATCTAAATAATAACTTACTATTTTTTTAATGTCATATTACTTAATATGCGCATTAATTATATACATTGATAGAAATTCAAAGGCAAAATGAATAAGAAATAAACAAACAAACAATGAAAAAATAAATAAACTAATTACCAATTATCAATGAATTTACTTGTAAGTATATTTACTTGATTGATTGCTTGCTACTTGATTATTAAGACTTTAGATAAGTCTGATATTTTAAAGTTAGTTGAAGGTTTTTATAGTTAAAAGTAAAGAAATGAAATCAATAAATTTGAAGTAATATTTAATAAAATTAACAAGTAATACAATATTATTTATTAGGCGAAGTAAGCATAGGGAAAACAATACAAACAAATTTCATTCATTATTTCATAGATAATTAGATAGATAGATAGATAAATAAATATAAAAGCAAAAACAATAAATTTGTATCCTGCTATTTAGCTGATTATTTCAAATACTATTTATTTTTTTTGATAAGCGATGTCAAATGATGGGAGATCGAATGCCTTAGGAGGCCGTCATGGATTTTTAGGATTCGTCCCAGCGTTAGTTATTAAGAATATATTAGATTAAAAAAATATGATGTAGCAATCGCAAATATAAGGAGGTAAAATGACACTCGAAATTGAATATTTAATTCAAATTTACTAATTTTAATAGCGATTGCGCAGGTTAACGCTGTCCCTGAATTGCCTATCAAGCAGGAATTGAGATCAGTTGTCATGTTCGCTGATATTTCTGGTTTTACAAACCTCACTGAAAGTTATTCAAAAATAGGACCTGAAGGCAATGAGATTATAGCGTTTGCAATCAACAGATATATGGAGCTGATGGTGCAAGAAATTGGGAAATCAGGTGGAGATATTTTTAAGTTTGCGGGAGATGCCATGATAGTTGTGTGGCCTCCTCCTCCTGATGAAAAGAAAACAGAGTAAGACAAGGATCTGTTTCTTTTAAACAGTTGCCATTTGGCAGTGTAAAGTGCGATGAATATTCAAAAAAAATTAAAGGAAACCAAAATTGTTGATTAAATTATGCTCTCTGTTAAAATAGGTTTCGGCATAGGTGATTTCTCAATTATTTATGTTGGAGGAGTTTTAAATAGAGCAGAGTATCTTCCTGCTGGTAATCCCCTCATTTAAGCCTTTGAAAGCGAGTCTCACGCTGAGAAGGGAGGTGTTGTTATCATTTCAGAAGAAGTTGAGCACTACCTTCGTAGGGAGAACTACTTTGATGTAAAACTAAATATTTTATTGTTATACTTCTTTCACCTAACAAAAGCAAATTATAAACACATCTCTTAATACAGATATAACTAATAAGCCATTTAAAAAGCCAACTATGAGCAAATTAATATTGTTGAGTCTAGTTTTTCAAAGACAATTTCATTAGAATTTTTTGATACGTTCATACACTTACTTGATAATAATGCTATTAAAAAGAGCTTTCAAACTTATATAGAACTAACTAACTAAATAACTAACTAACTAAGAAATAGCAAACAAATAAACATTTATTAAATTAACAGAGAAACAAAAAATATAATAAATAACTTAAAAAGTACTATTTGCTTCATTGATTTCAGCTTACTTTTAATTTGTTTATATTTCTAAAAAAATTTAAAGATTGGCTGTCTGTTTCTAAAAATACTATCTGATATTTGCAAATTTTATTAATCGCTAACCACATAATTTATTTATTGGATCTCGATCTTAACTTAATAAATTTCTAATCTATTGGTGAATAAGCCCACCTTATTTAACAAAAGTGAATTTTCGAAAGAAAATATTACTTACTTACTTGTTTATTTAATTAGGTAGTTAGTAAGTGATATAAATAGATAGATAGTTAGTTAGTTTTAGATTAGTTAATTGTTTAATAATTTCATCATGGCTATTAATTTATTTATAGATTTTTTTTAAATTACTATCAAGTATTAAAGATAGTAAAATTTAAGCTGCGAGCATTTTACTTACATGAGATAATTTATTTGTTCTTCTAGTAAAATCTTGATTACTAAATACAGCAAGAATGACGAAATAAAAATTTATAATTTTAGAAATAGTACAAAAAATTTCATTAAATAAATGAATGATAAATTTAATTAAGAATTTTTCTAATTTAATGAATATCTTAACTATCAATCAAACAAAGATAGTTGACTTTTATATTCATTTTTGCTTGTTTAGAAAATATAATTTTTTGTTTTATTGAATAAAAATAGATGCAAGAAGTTACTAAAAAGGATGATAAAAAAAAATTTTTTTAGGTGTTGAATACGAAATAAAAAGTTAGAAATGTGTCTGCCTCTTTGTAAATTAAAGATTAACTTTCTCCTGCTTAGATTGAAATTATACGTCCCGATGTTGAAAGATATATTCCTAAAGCATTGAAAATGTATATAAATTTAGGCTTAGAAAGGTGGTCTAGTGAACTCAGATGGCTCACTGTACTGTTTATGAACATAGGCATTGACCTCAATCATATTGCTTCTTAGGAAGGTCTCAATAGAATTTAAAAAGTTATTGAATGTATTCAAAAATGTGTTTATCTCTAAGAAGGCTCGCTAAATAAATTTCTTATGGATGATAAAGGAAGTACTATGATTGTTGTTTTTGGGCTTCCTCCTACTTCTCATGAAGATGATGCTGCTAGAGCTGTCCTATGTGCACAATAAATTTATAAATCCTTAAGTAAAAAATTTAAATTAATTTATTATTTTCAAAGTTACATTTTTAATATTCTTTAATTAATAAAATAAATGGATTTATTTTGTGAAAAAAAAGTATTAATTTTTATCTAAAAAATATTAATGAAATAATTCAATAAATATTTTTTGAAAATAATTGTTTAGAAAAAATGAACTGTAAATGCAGCATTGGTATATCTTCTGGACTGGTTTTTGCTGGTGTGGTTGGTACAAGTGGTAATCGTAGAGAGTATTCAGTTATTGGAGATAGTGTCAATTTATCAGCTAGAATTATGTCTTGTGCTTGCAAGGAGAAAGATAAGAGAATACTTGTTGATGAAACTACTGCAAAATAAGCAATGAATAAAATTGATTTCAGATTCTGGGATTGGAAAAAATTCAAGGGAAAGAGCATGTACCTTCCTATTTATGAGCCATTATTTTTTTCTTCTGAGAAAATGAAATAGGAGTATAAGGACAATTATTTTCCTTAAATAAGAACTCATAGATATTGTTATCCTATTTGGAATTCTAAACTTTTAGAGAAGCCAAACGATGATGGTTCGACGGATACTCCTGTTCCAATAATTTAAAATAAAAAAATGAGTGCTACTAGAAAGATGTTAAATCAGCCATTGAATGCAAATGCTTAAAATATATTTTTTTCTCCGAAAGTCATAGAAGGAGGAGGTTTTCTGAGGGATACTTCACATTCTATGGTAGGAACTCCTTTATTAAGCAAATAGCATGACGAATAAAAGAAACAGATGAATTTATATAAAACTATTGTTCTTTCCGAAGATAAATTTTAAAAAGCATACGGAATCTTTAAGTAATTCATGAAAGGTCTTTAAAATCAGTAGATGAAAGGTAAAATTATGAGATGTAAGGGGTTTACTTTAATAAAAGGACCAGTTGGAGTGGGAAAATCTCTGTTTTTAAGAAAGTTGCTTCTTAGCATACATGATGATATTCATAAAAAGACATACATGAAATTTAAATATGATGAATCAGTTTAGATTATTGTTTCTAGCATCAATTCAAAGACTTCAAAATATAAATGCAACGGAATGAGGAAACCAATAAAAACTCTATTTAAATTATTAATGAAAAGAATGAATATGCATGATACTTCTCTAGAAGCAAAGATAAAGTTTTTGTATAATTAAATACCTTCATTATAAAGTTAATCACAATACATGCAGACTACAATCAAACAGCTCTTTGGGTTAGAAAAATTTAATCTTTTAGCTAGATTCGATGCTCCTTCAAAGATAAGTAAGGAGACTTAAATAAGTGTGGGAGAAGACTCAGACGAAAGAATAAAAAATGAATACATGCTCATAGCTAAACTTGTAAGAGAATTCTTTTCTGCTTATTTAGAGCAGAAAGAACATTATGACATGGAAGGACATATACATATTAATAACTCAAGAGGATCATTTAACCCTAAAAACTTTGTTGCACCATTAATTATAGTCTTAGAAGACATTCATAACTATGATGTCTACTCATTTAAAATGATAAGAACTCTATTGAAATATTTTGATAACATACAATTTTTTGCCACTGCCCGTACAAATTATTTCGAAAAACCTGTTCAAGTAGATGCAAATCCGAAAACCCCGATGCAAGAAGATATTTATCAGGATGGAGTTTCGTCAATAGAAGAATTGCTTCTTGACAGTAAAAATATATTTTAATTATTTGATTTATTTGTTTATTAATTCAATAAAAATAATTAATAGTGAGTGTTGATTTATACTAAGTGATTGAACTTAACAATTTTTCGTTTAAGGAATCTGAGAAGATCAAAGAACTATTAAAAGTTATTCTAAATATTGAAAATGTGTCATATAAAAATAAGAATGATAGAGATGAAAGTGATGACATTGATTTAAGTTCAATTTCATTCTTGTTTTACAGCTAAATTAAAGAGAGATTATAAGAATTTCCTAAGTTATTTTTCTATTATTTTCTTTAGTTCAAGACAAATGGAAATCCATTGTTACTTCTAGATTGTGTGGAGACTTTCTTGGAAAGTAAACTTTTATTAATGGCAGGTAAAAACATCAGCTAAGAATAATTAGAAAAAGAAGGCTATAAAACAAGTTACAACTACAGAAAAACCGTATTCATTACTGAAGAGTTGAGGAACTTAATGCTTTGTGAAGAATTCATCACAATCAACTCTCCTCTAAGTAAATTAAAAGAATTCAAAAATTAAATTAACAAAAAAATTTTTAATATAAAAGTAAAAAGGAAAATTTATGGCCCGATTCTCGATCAGATTAAAACTGAGGAACTCTTAATTATGAAAATAGCAAGCGTAATTGGAACTGTCTTCGATTTTGAAATGTTGAGCAAGGTGTAGCCTTTTAAGGAGTTAATTAAAAATGATTAGCTAATAGACTTGTTGACTAATTTAGAGCAAAACTAGTTTATTGAAATAGTTGAGCACAACTCGAATAACATTTATTTTAGATGCACTCACCCATATATAAGAGAAGTTATTTATTAGCGCATGGATTTCTCCCAGAGAAGGCAACTTCATATAAACGTAGCAGAAAATATATAAACAATGACCCAATTAGAAAACAGCGAATAACATGAAAAAAGAAGATTATTGTTTCATTTAAAGCTAGGAGAAAACACTCGTCGCTAAACCTTACGTTAAGATGATAAGCAAATAGAGCTAAAAGCTAAAACTGCCATCATTGTAAAAAAGGTTACTAATTTACTCAAACAAAGTAGCAACCGTTCAGATCGTATGTGTGTCCTCCACAATTCTATTCTAAGCAAAAAAAGTGACAAAGGTGTAACCAAAGCCGATAGATACGTGATCCTTACAATTTATGATCTTAGGTAATTAAAATAATTAATTTTCAAGCTTAAAAAATAAATTCTCAACTCTCAAACAAAGAGTTTAAAATTAAATGAAAATTTAAATGGTGGAAAAGCTATTTCAAAGATAAATTAGTTATTTTAAAATAAATTTAAAATGGACAAAAAAATAAAATAAATTTTAAGCAAAATAAATAATTTTGAAAAGAAAATAAATTGAAATTAAAAAAATACTGATTCAAATAATTTTACTGAAATAAATATGATATTTTTCATATTTAATTTAAAGTAGAAAAAGTTTTACTTTATTTTTTTTTAAGCTTATTTTTTAAATTATTAAATATTATTTTAATATTGAAAATGATTTCTTTAAAAATAAATAATTTTAAATTGAAAAAAATTTAGATACTATCACAACATAAAGGAATTCGAAGATAGTCCTTAGGAGTTTTTGGCATCTATTTTGCTAAAAGATATAATTAGCATAGAAAAAACAAAGGAAATTCAGGGATAGACTCAATTTATCTTGCATGCAGAAAAGTGGTACAAAAAGGATTAACTTAAAAATAGCAAAAGAGATTTCATTTTTTCAAGCAATGAGGAAGATATTTTTGATGAATGGTAAATATATATTGAATATGCTAAAACATATCAATAGTTCAGCTATTTTACACAAAATTTTGGAAAAATTCAACTACCACTTGAAATAGCTTCTGTTCAATAGTAGCAGTTATACAGATGGTATGACTATGAAAGAAGAAACAGATAAACTAACAAAGAAAGATCTACGAGTATGAGATTGCCTAAAAACTTTCATGGAGGAAGACTCACTCTTAATAAATCAAAATTAAGTGTCAGTATCAGAAAACTTAAAAACACAATAGAAGAAGAACCCTAAAACGAATATATCAACAACACAGAGTAAATATAACTGAACAAGGAAAGAGTAAAAACTCTAATCCACAAAGGCTTAATGCTCTTCATGAGCCATATTGCAGAAATGTCCATTCTAACTGATGAAAGATACAAAAAAATTGGATAATCTACACTATTCCATGCATAAAACCCGAAACTATTCAAAGTAGATAAAGAGTACCTTTTCTAGAACTACAATCCTCTAAGAGGAGACAGCAATTACTTTGATCGTTCCAAAATACATAAAAGCAGGTACTAATTTTTAATATTTTTGATAAAACTGTTTAAAAAGCAAAAATATATCATTATCAATTACCAAATTTATCAAAATATAAAAGTTTCCTAAATCTATTTAGATGGAAAATAACTTTATCATTTTAATTAGTAAATTTATTAAAATTCAAAAGTTTGATAAAACTGTTTAGAAGGCAAATAATTTTCTCATTATTAAATAGCAAATTTATAAAAATTTAAAGGAAAATATTCAAATAAAAACTCAAACAAATTTAAGAAATTTACTAAAACAATTCAAATTTAATAGTTTTAAGAATAAAAATTAATTTAAAATCATAATTTATCAAGCAGATTTCAATATAAAATGAAAAAATGAATTTTATTTTTATACTAATGAAAAGCTATTAAAATAAAGAGCGAATAAGAATTAATTTAACCAAAATAGTATTTAAAAAACAAGCAGGTTTATTTGTAATGATTATTGAAAAGAAATAAAGAATAAATTATTTAATAGTTTTAAATTAGAAAAAAATATAAATTTATTTGATTTAAGAATAATGAATGAAGATATTTTTGTTTATTCAGAATTTTAACTTAATTTAATGAAAGTAAACTCAAATTTAATAAAAAATAATAATTTTAAAGTAGCGATGAATAGCACTCTAATGATGAACAGACATCACTAAGCTCTGATAAATCGATACCAAAACGCAGTGTGACAGGGATACCTAAAGAAATTTTGACTGAAATTAAGGAAGAGGAAGAAGAAAATATGAAATAGCGCTCAAACAATAAAAATAAATTAAGTGACTAGTTCTATGCTGAAGAGACTGCTGCTTCTCATTAACCAAGTAACACTTCATAAAACTAAGACATAATGAATTAAATGAACAGCTAAAGAAACAACCAGAAATCTTTTTCTGTAACCACTAAATACTCAAATAACAAGAATACTCAGTCAGGATTTGAATCTAGAGGAGTAGAAGATAACGAAAATCTTTTCAACCAGTCTTCAATTGAAATTAAATCTCCTTATTTAGATTAAAATATTCTACACACAGATCCAGTAAATGAAGTAATCATTATTAAATACAGTTGAAATCATTTTTTACCATTCAAAATAAATAAATATATATAAATCAATTCAATCAAAAAAACAAACAAACAAAACAGCATTTATTTTTTGAGCTATCTACCTATCTATCTATTTACCTTTCAGCAAAAAGCAAACAAACATAAAAACAAACATGTAATTAACAAATAAATATAATTAAAAAACATATTTATCAAAACAATAAGTTAACAAATTTTCTTTTTTAACAAATAATGAATTTAAATAAAATTAATAAATAAATAAATAACAAATGAACTTATCAAATAAACTAACTCTATTTACTTTATATTATAATTCTTGTATTTTTATATATAACTTGTATATTAATTTTGTTTTACTCACTTACATTTTTTGTAATTTTCACAAGTTTATTTGTTTGTTCTTCCCTTTTTTCATTTTTTGTTTGCTTGCTTGCTTTTATGTTGTAAAATGTAATGCTGATAGGTAGATAGAAAGAAAGTAACAAAAATAAATAAATGTTTTTAAATGAGAAGTTATTAAAAATAAATTTACATTTTAATTTTTATTTTTATAAGACTGAAGCTATTTACAAAAACAAAGAGAGTAACAAAGTGGTAATTCTTCAATCAGTAAAAGAAGTTGACAGCAACGACTCTTCATCTGTTATGTCTAATTAGCTTAGAAGGAGTCAAAACAGATACAGTTCTTTATATGAAAAATATCAATATACTCAGAATTACAGTTCGAATGAGAGGAAAGACTCTCAAGTTTACCAAAATTCAGATGAAAATCATAATAAGCAAGATTTCACTTCTTCTTCGAAATCTGCAGAGTTATCTAGTAATTCTAGTCCAAACCAAGCTATTAAAAGTAACAGTTAAAATAACCACATAGATTTAGAAAACAACAATAATCAAGTAATTGATACTTTTTAGAATCTTCCATAAACTTAATAATAAACAGGGAACTTTCTAAATGTATAAAACTGTAATTAGTAACCCAATAATTCTATTAAGTAAAAGGGTAATAAAAATTTCTTAACTGAAGAGTCGAACAAAGCCAATAATAACAATAATAATAACAATTAATTGCCAAAGAATTCTAGTGTTACTGCCTTTAGCGGCTATGAAAATGGATAAATATCATCAGAGATCAAAGACAATCAAACAAGCTAATATACATTAACATCAAATTAAGGAAGCACTGTAGCTCTGATGAATGAAAATCCTAACTTTTTAGCAAGTCACTCTCCTTTAGTGATTAAGAAAGTACGTCCTTCTCAATGGAACAATATTCCTTTAATGAACTTAGAACAATCAGAGAGCAACAATAACTTTAACATCTAAGATATTTCCGATATTTATCATTAAAATGCAAACTGCAGTGATTAATAAAGTCCGTAGAAAGATGAAATATTAACTAAATCAGAGTTTCTAATCTACTAAGGCCTTTCTTCACCACCTATTTAACAATAATTTTCTTAATTGAGCTCCAGTTCTAATCAAAATAAAGGCCTGCTAGATAGTAACCCAAATAGTCCTGTTAAATCAATTAACCACAGCTAAAGTGCAATGCAAAGTATCAATTTAAATTAATTAAAATCTGAAAAACTCTCAGTCACTTCCAATCTCTAAGTTCAAACACAGCCTAGTAATTTCGAATTCTCAAACTCTCCTTCAAACAACAGCTAAAAAATACCTCTTGGAGCTATATCGACATTTAAAGATGGCAATCTCTTTTCTCCAACTAAACAAACCTAATAATTTGGTTTCAGATAATCGTAGCAAAGTCAAGCATCTTAACAAAACACGAACAGTCCAAGCTAAATGATTTAAGGCGGTGTTTCTACTAACAATAGTAATTTATATACTTTTCAAAATTCTAATATTTAATCTACATGCACTTTTGCTGCTGCTTCACCCTGTTAGCATAGATCATCCACTTAACTCTAATTTTAATAAGCATATCAATAACACCAAATACAGTAGCAAAATTAACAAGCCATAAACCTTGATCCTAACTAAATTTAATCGCTTTTATATATTAATCAGCTTTCTAACTAAAATATAGACTAATAGGCATAGTTGTCGTCCTAAGTAGAGAGAGGCACTTCATAAGCTATTTCCTCTGACAAAATAATCAGCAACAACAATAGCAACAATATTTAATAATAATAGCAATAATAATAATAAAACAACATTTCTAATCAATAGAATATCATGAACGCTGTTCCTCCTTAGGCTGATAATAACAACAACAACAACAATAATAATAATAATAATTAAAAAATTGCCTAAATAGAATAAAAGCAGTAGATGTAAAATAGTTGCAATTTATCTGAATAGACAGAAGCGTCACAGGAAAAATACCTTTAAAGTCCCTCACTGAAAAGCGAGAAGGGAAAAGTTGCTGGATAGCTTTCTATAAACCTGAGAAAAAGCGTTGTGAGCACAACAACTCAAGTTACTTCAGAAAGAAGTGAATATAAACAGAAGGAAGAAACTTCTTAGAATGAAAATTAAAGATAAAGTATCTCAGCTTATTAACAATAGGCTTAAATAATTCAAAATCAACCATAAAATGATTTTAGTCCTAATCAATCTAATGAAATGTACTCTTTCAACATGAAAACCAATATTAACAGTTCCCATATTAACAACACATCAGATTAAATATCTCCAAGAGCTCATATCGACTCACAGCATCATATTATTTTGAATAAAAATATCTCTGTAAGCTCTAATATTACTGGGTAGTTCAACTAATAAAGTGATTAATCATCAACTCGTTTTGACTATGTTAAGAATGACTATTACCAACATAATTAAGACATTTCAAACCCATCTATCTAAAACTTGAGTGCCACAAATAACATCACCTATCCATTCTAAAATCCTTATATTGTATCAGAAGGTAAAATCAAATTTCAAACAAACATTATTTTTATTAAAATATGCTAATTCCATTATAAATTTAGCCATTTTTTTTTCTAATCCTTACCCAATTATTAATCCTAAAACCATCTTTTAAGTTTAAATAAATAATCCAGATTGTTGATAAATTCAATTAATTATTTTAATTTGTCACACATAAAATAAATTCATAGAATTTTATATATTCCAAATTGATTCTTATTATTTTACTAAAATTGACGAATCCTGAATATTTTTTTCATATTAATTAGTAAATTAAAATGCAATGACTCGTTAAACTACTATCTCTGTTAGAGGCGATAAATTAATTCTAACTAAAATGCTCCAAGTAAAAATACTAAAATTCTATTCAGACGATACTGTAGAAGTAAATTTTGAAGGTGTTACAGCTATCTTTCCCAAAAAAGATTTTATCCTACTAAATTAAAATTCATCTGTATTTAGAAAAAGTGAAAGTTAACCTCCTGAAAAAAAGCTTAGTATAAATAAAAGCACCAACAACCAAACAATTAAAATATCGCCAAATAAATAAACTTCTTACTAACCTAATTAAAATACAAAAACCCAACAAATTAGCATCAACAATAACGGAAGAAGTGCTTCACTATATCTTCCTTAATAATCTTTACAAAAAAATAATAGCTAACAACAAATAATTAATGGAAAGAAATTTTAAAAATCAAACAATTCACCTCCTTCACAAAGAAAAAAATACTGAAATGAGAGTTTTTTGTTGATTATCAACCTTATTTAACAAAATTGCTAAAACAATAATAGCAAAAACCAAAATAGCAAAAAAACAAACACAAATTTAAATATTCTTTTTTTCCAAATTTTCATAAATAAATAATTATAATTATATAAAATAACTAATTCTTACTATATTTCTCATATTTTTAATATATTTTATACGTGTAAATAAATCAACTTTTTCGCATTTTAAAATAATTTTCAAATCTCTCTTAAAAGCTAATTAAAAATCTATTTTTTGTTTTTATTTTCAATCATAAAAAGCATTTTTATAAAACTATTGAATTGTCTTCGCAAATAATTATTTTCCTTATCTGAAAATTACAAAAATTAAATTAGCTGATAAATAAATTTCAATTAATTAATTATTTGTTTCTTAAAAATTAATTAATTATAAAAAATAGAAGCATATTAGGTCTAATTTAAATATTTGCTAATTAATTTTTTATTTTATTTATTTATTTTATTTTTCTTTCTTGCTTTTCAATTTATTTATTTATTTGTATTTCTTTTATTAATTTTCTTATTTAATCATTTATTTATTTATTTGTTTGTTTGTTTTTATATTTTTTCTATTTGTTTTATTATTATTTATTTATATTATTAAAATTCTACTTTTTAGTTAATCTGAGAGAGAAATCAAGCATAATATGATAAGATTCTATTCTAAATATTTTAATTAATTGGAAAGAAAATCTGGTTTTATAATTGGTTTTTTTTTGTTTAAGATTTTTTTGACAATCCAATTGCTTTTAATGCAATTAATCAAAATGATTATTTGATCAACAAGCTCTTAGGCAATAAGGCTGGAAATTTTAAAAACTTAATTGGAATGGTATGGTGTTTGCGGTGAGTTAAAATGAAATAGTAATTTAATTATTTTATTTTAATGATGTGGTTTAAATTACTTTTCATTTTTTCACTAAAAAACTAAATTATTTGCCTGCTTGTAAAATCAAATAAAATCACTTTCTTAATTTTTTTTTTCTTAATATTTTAATTAAAATTTATTATTTATATTTATTTCAGAAGGATTTCTTTTTATTTAAAAATCTTTCTAATAAATTAATAAATTTAGAAAAGAGAAGGTGATGATTAATTATTTGCTCAAAAATCTATTCTTCTTTTTCCTCCACTGTAAAAATTTTATTTTAAAGAAATCAAATATGAAATATAAATTCTAATATAAAATTTGTTTTAAAAAATCTACTTTAAATATTATTTTTCAAATTTATAAAATAGAATTTTTTTATTTAATAATTTTCAAATCTAATGTTTTAAAATAAATAAAATTATATAAAATAAAAGTTTATAATAGAAAAATAAAAATTACATTGAATATTTTAGATATTAATTATTAAGAAATAATAATTCATAAATGAATAAAGATTTTCGTTAGAAAAAAAATTGTTAGATTGTCAATTAAATTTATTTATGAAAATTATATATTTATCTTATTCATTATCTAACTAACTAACTAACTAATTAGATAAAGAAGCATTTTTCTGTTAAAAATTAATAAGAAAAAGATATTTGAATTATGATAATGAAAAAGTAAATTTTACTTTGTTCAATAATCAATTAATTAATTAAAAATAAAGAAAAGATAAAAAGAAAGGCTAGCAGAAAATAATAAATGATAAATATGCAAAGTTTTTAAGCCGAAGTTTTTAATGCCACAAAATCATTCTAATTATATAGATATATATATTTTTAGTTTTGTTGTTTGGATAGAATACAGGCCCATTTTCGTTAGTGATCCCGTTTAAATGCATAGATATCTTTTATTATCAATAGCTGAGCTAGCTAGTATATAAAAACAATAGATTTATATACTAGTTAAAAGGGAAAATCAAAAAGATAAGAGCACTCTTTTTTTTAATTTGTACTGAAGAAGAATTTTTAATTTTTTTACTTTTTAAGGGAATATAATTATTTTATTTAACTCGCTAATCTCTTTCCAATTATTAAAAGTAGAGCATATCAATTAAAATGAAGAAGAATAAAGAAAGAAAGAAAGAAAGAAAGAAATCAAATTTTTAAAAGGGAATATGATATAAAAAAGATTAAAAAGAAAATAAAATATAAATAAAAATAAAAAAGAAGAAGAAGAATAAAATAAAATAAAATATTTAAAATATGAATTAAAAAATTAACTAAAAAAAATTAACCATATTAATTAAAAATCAACTCAAATTAGATAAGAAATAAATGAATAAATAAATATATAAAATAATGTTAACTTCAAACAAATATTAATGAGTTTATTATTATATATAATCATATATATATAATGCTTTAATCTCGCTTTAATTTAGGCTGCTAAGCATATTTATTATCGTATTAATTTTAGTTGTATTTAACTTAATATTATGTTTTTGTTATTGCTTTTGCAACTAAATTCTAAAAAAAAGCAATGAATTAATTAATTTATTTTTCTTTTGATAAATTGGATATTTGTATTCATAAATCATGTTTATTTTTCATATAATTAATTTTTTGCTATTTAGGTAATAATTTATGAAAGAATGAATGAATGAATGTGTATATGCGTAACGAATTTATGGATAAGTTAATATATTAATTATCTTTTATATTTAACAAACATTTTTTTGGATTTATTTCTAGATTTTTAAACGTAATAAATATATAACCATTTTTCAAATATTATTTATGATAGACTTCATTAATACATTTGACAATAAAACTTAATGATTATAAATATCATTTTTATATTTTCCAACGAAATATAAATTATCATAACAGACCCTTCTTAATTTTGTTAACACATTTCATATCGCAGAATTTAAGATACGGAAATATGCGAATGAAAAATCTAGTGGCTTGAGTTAATTAGAATATTTTAAAAAATAATAAAAAATAATTTATAATAAAATTAAAATTAATACATTTTTATATTTTAATTAGAATATTTTAAAAAATAAATAAATAATTTATAATAAATTTAAAATTAATACATAATTATATTTTAATTTGAGTGAATAATTATAATTTGCCTATTAAATTATCGATAAATTTAGTTTTTTTTATGAATTTTGAAGTAAAAATTTTTTAATTTGGGAGGAAAATTACGGCAAATCCTCCTAAATTCTCACCAGCAAAAATAAATTTTCACCATATTTTCTGAATATTTATATAAAATTTTGAACCCACACTATATATTCTATGTGTGGGGTTTTAACTAAAGCAATCAACCCTATTTAAAAATATATTTAATTTTCAACTAATTTTTATCTACCTTTATATTCTTTTTTTCTTGATTTTTTCTAACTATTTCAAATAAAAATCCTAAATATTATTAGTTCGAATTCAATTGGTGATGAAGGCACCATAAGCTTGGGTTCAAGCTTGGCTGATTGTACTAATCTCACAAATTTGACACTCTATTTATAGTAAAAATTGTTTATTTTAATTTTTTTTAATTTTATGTATTTATATTTATCTGCAAAAACAACCAACCAACCAACCAATCAATAAACAAATAAATGAATGAATCATGTATTAACATGCAAAAAATGTTTTTAATTGATGCTTGTTTATTGTAAAAAGGATTCTACGTTCTTATTGTTTTTAATTCATATTTGCTCTATTATTTCTTCTTTAATTTTATTTTATTTTTTTCTATATAGAAATTTTCATTAATATATGCTTAATATAACTTTTTTAAATTTTTCAACTTTTTTATATATTTCTTTTATTCGAATTTTATCATATTATCTTAAATTTTTTCTAAATATAAAAGGAATAGTATAATTAGTGATTAAGGCGCATCAAGCTTGAGTTCTAGCTTGACTGACTGTGCTAATCTTAAAAGTATAGCACTTTACCTAAGGTGAAAATAGTTTATTTGAATTTACTAACATTTTGTATTATTTTGCTTATTTTGAAAGCAATGAATGGACATAATAATAAGCTGCAAAGTGCTTATATTGTTTATCTAATTAATTAATTCATTCATTCATTCATTCATTATACTTTATTATTTATTAAAACTTATTCAGTTATTTTGTTCTTTTATTTATTTGCTTATTAAAATATTTCTTTTTTCATATAATTCAAATATTTTTCTAAAAAATAAAAGCTAAAATTTAATTACTCACAAGGGCATTTTAAGTATATGTTCTAGATTGGTTCACTGTAGTTAACTAACAACTTTGATGCTTGATCTAAGGTAAAAACAGTTTGTTTAAATTTATTAACTTTTTAGTTTATTTTATTAGAAATTAAATATATGTATGAATTGATTAGTAGCTAAGCATTACACAAAAATTTTTTATTGCTACTTTTTTATTACAAAATTAATTGATTATTATTATTATTCACTATTAATAAAATAATGTTCAGTTTGTCACTCAATTTTGATTTTTTTCACTCAAAATTTCATTAAAATATTTAACTAATTTATTAATTAGATATAAACTTTTACTCATGTTTTTCTTAATTTTTTCTTATTAAATCACATATTTATAAATGTTAAAAGTGAGAATCTATGAACTTTTATAGAAGAGTTAAGATTAAAAATAATAATTCTGAAAGCAAAGAATCTAGTGAAATTCATTTTATATTTATGAACATGAATAAACAAATTAAATATATTTGCTTTATTATACTATTAGTTGTATATGAATTAATTAATTAAATAAATAAATAAATTTGTTTATTTAAATTTTGTCATAAAATATTGATTTTATTATTTTTAATTTGATTATGTTAAATTTTATTTATTATTTATTATTGATTTTATTTTATAATATTTATTATATTTTTAATTCTTTTAAGAAAATATTAATTCTTTTTTTACAAAATCTTTAAGGAAAATAAATTATTAAAAGTTTAGAAAAATTTATATATGTTTAATAATGAGTCTATTTAGTTTATTTAATTATAAATATTGAATACAATAATAATAGAAAGAGACAATTACAGATGAATTTATTTTTTTAATGAAAAAAAAAGTTAAAATATTTAATAAAAAAAGTTTAAAAGCTCTTCACTTTCATCTCATTAAGTTCTCCATATAGATCTGAGGTATATTTAATTAAAAAATATTATTTTTATTATGACTAATATTTTTTGAATATTTAATTTTCAATTTATTCAAATAAATAATTTTTATTATAGAAATTATCATCACTATTGATTGATTTTTATTAAAACTAAAATTTTTTATATTTTAACATAATTTTCATTTAAATTTTTAATTATTTATTTATTATTCACTTTTTATTATTTGATACTTTTTCTTCATTTATTGCTATTAAAACTTACACTTAATAAAAGCTATTTATTTGTTTTTCATTGTAATATTTTTGATTATAAATGTTAATTTTAAACATTGAAGTTCTTTTAATTTATTTGATTTGTTTTCCTTTTTCTTTTTTTATGATTTCTTATTTTTTCATTCTTAATTTTTAACTAATCTTATTATTTCATATTTTTTCTTCATTTTTTCCTCCTAATTAACTAGAGTGAAATACCTATTTAATTTATATCTTAATAAAATTATAAATAAAGCTAATTTTTAGAAAGCATAACATACCTTTTTTTTTGAAAAAAAATAAATTTTAAAAACCTATGATGGAAAAAAATTCATAAAAAATATTTTAAATCTTAATTTTATTAAATGTAAAAACTGGTATATAAAACTCTCTTTTTCTAAATTTGTATGGTAACTTACTCTATTTATTAAAAAGTTACAATTAAATTGGTGATGAAGGTGCATCAGGCTTAGGTTCTGCATTATCAAATTGCATTAATCTCTCAAATTTGACACTTAACCTTTAGTAAAAACATTTTATTTGTTTTGGATTGTGATATTTTGGATTATTAAAACTAATTAAAAACAATAAAGCTCTTTTTTCTTTTTCTTTTTATTGTGCTTGCTTTTTTTTGTTCTTTCTTTGTCAATTTAGCTCATCATTTTATTTCAACTTTTGCTTTTACTATTTATTTCTTATAATTTCATATTTTTTCTTCATTTTTTCCTTCTAATTAACTATTTAATGAATGATATATTTTTTCTTTAATATTTAAAAAGTGGAAATTAAATTGGTGATGAAGGTGCATCAAGCTTAGGTTCTGCTTTAGCAAATTGCATTAATCTATCAAATTTGACACTTGGCCTTGAGTAAAAGCATTTTATTTGTTTTGGATTGTGATATTTTAAATTAAAAAAACTAATTAAAAACAATAAAGCTCTTTTTTCATTTTGTTTTTATTGTGCTTGCTTTTTTTGTTCTTTCTTTGTTAATTTAGCTCATCATTTTATTTTCAACTTTTGCTTTTACTATTGATTTCTTATTATTTCATATTTATTTCTTCATTTTTTCCTTCTAATTAACTATTTAATGAATGATATATTTTTTCTTTAATATTTAAAAAGTTCTAATTAAATTGATCCTATTGGTGCATCAGGCTTAGGTTCTGCTTTTGCAAATTGCATTAATCTCTCAAATTTGACACTTAACCTTTAGTAAAAACATTTTATTTGTTTTGGATTGTGATATTTTAAATTAAAAAAACTAATTAAAAACAATAAAGCTCTTTTTTCATTTTGTTTTTATTGTGCTTGCTTTTTTTTGTTCTTTCTTTGTTAATTTAGCTCATCATTTTATTTCAACTTTCTTTTGCTTTTACTATTTATTTCTTATTATTTCATATTTTTTCTTCATTTTTTCCTTCTAATTAACTATTTAATGATTATTTTTTATTTAATATATAAAAAGTGAAAATTAAATTGGTGATGAAGGTGCATCAGGCTTAGGTTCTGCTTTTGCAAATTGCATTAATCTCTCAAATTTGACACTTAACCTTGAGTAAAAACATTTTATTTGTTTTGGATTGTGATATTTAAAATAAAAAAAACTAATTAAAAACAATAAAGCTCTTTTTTCATTTTGTTTTTATTGTGCTTGCTTTTTTTTGTTCTTTCTTTGTTAATTTAGCTCATCATTTTATTTTCAACTTTTGCTTTTACTATTTATTTCTTATTATTTCATATTTTTTCTTCATTTTTTCCTTCTAATTAACTATTTAATGAATGATATATTTTTTCTTTAATATTTAAAAAGTGAAAATTAAATTGGTGATAGAATAGAATAGAAATACTCGCACATATAAATGCACTCAGAATACAACTTAAATTAAAAATTATTTATTTATTTATTATATTTATATGTATTATTGTTTGTTTTTTTTGTATTTATTAGGTCTTTAAATATATTATTTTTGATTTTTCTATGAAAACAAAATCTATCAAATTTGACACTTAACCTTGAGTAAAAACATTTTATTTGTTTTGGATTGTGATATTTAAAATAAAAAAAACTAATTAAAAACAATAAATCTCTTTTTTTTTCTTCTTATTATTGTGCTTGCTTTTTTTTGTCCTTTCTTTGTTAATTTAGCTCATTATTTTATTTTCAACTTTTGCTTTTACTATTTATTTCTTATTATTTCATATTTTTTCTTCATTTTTTCCTTCTAATTAACTATTTAATGAATGATATATTTTTTCTTTAATATTTAAAAAGTGAAAATTAAATTGGTGATGAAGGTGCATCAGGCTTAGGTTATGCTTTAGCAAATTGCATTAATCTATCAAATTTGACACTTAACCTTTAGTAAAAACAGTTTATTTGTTTAGAATTGTGATATTTTAAATAAAAAAAACTAATTAAAAACAATAAAGCTCTTTTTTCATTTTGTTTTTATTGTGCTTGCTTTTTTTGTTCTTTCTTTGTCAATTTAGCTCATCATTTTATTTTCAACTTTTCCTTTTACTATTTATTTCTTATTATTTCATATTTATTTCTTCATTTTTTCCTTCTAATTAACTATTTAATGATTATTTTTTATTTAATATTTAAAAAGTTCTAATTAAATTGGTCCTATTGGTGCATCAGGCTTAGGTTCTGCTTTTGCAAATTGCATTAATCTCTCAAATTTGACACTTAACCTTGAGTAAAAACATTTTATTTGTTTTGGATTGTATTATTTTAAATTAAAAAAACTAATTAAAAACAATAAAGCTCTTTTTTCATTTTGTTTTTATTGTGCTTGCTTTTTTTTGTTCTTTCTTTGTTAATTTAGCTCATCATTTTATTTCAACTTTCTTTTGCTTTTACTATTTATTTCTTATTATTTCATATTTTTTCTTCATTTTTTCCTTCTAATTAACTATTTAATGAATGATATATTTTTTCTTTAATATTGAAAAAGAAGGAATTAAATTGGTGATGAAGGTGCATCAGGCTTAGGTTCTGCTTTAGCAAATTGCATTAATCTATCAAATTTGACACTTAACCTTTAGTAAAAACAGTTTATTTGTTTAGAATTGTGATATTTTAAATAAAAAAAAACTAATTAAAAACAATAAATCTCTTTTTTCTTTTTCTTTTTATTGTGCTTGCTTTTTTTTGTTCTTTCTTTGTTAATTTAGCTCATCATTTTATTTCAACTTTCTTTTGCTTTTACTATTTATTTCTTATAATTTCATATTTTTTCTTCATTTTTTCCTTCTAATTAACTATTTAATGATATATTTTTTATTTAATATATAAAAAGTTAAAGTTAAATTGGTGATGAAGGTGCATCAGGCTTAGGTTCTGCTTTAGCAAATTGCATTAATCTCTCAAATTTGACACTTTACCTTTAGTAAAAACAGTTTATTTGTTTAGAATTGTGATATTTTAAATAAAAAAACTAATTAAAAACAATAAAGCTCTTTTTTCTTTTTCTTTTTATTGTGCTTGCTTTTTTTGTTATTTCTTTGTTAATTTAGCTCATCATTTTATTTCAACTTTTGCTTTTACTATTTATTTCTTATTATTTCATATTTTTCTTCATTTTTTCCTTATAATTAACTATTTAATGATTATTTTTTATTTAATATATAAAAAGAAGGAATTAAATTGGTGATGAAGGTGCATCAGGCTTAGGGTCTGCTTTAGCAAATTGCATTAATCTCTCAAATTTGACACTTAACCTTGAGTAAAAACATTTTATTTGTTTTGGATTGTGATATTTAAAATAAAAAAACTAATTAAAAACAATAAAGCTCTTTTTTCATTTTGTTTTTATTGTGCTTGCTTTTTTTGTTCTTTCTTTATTAATTTAGCTCATCATTTTATTTTCAACTTTTGCTTTTACTATTTATTTCTTATTATTTCATATTTTTTCTTCATTTTTTCCTTCTAATTAACTATTTAATGAATGATATATTTTTTCTTTAATATTTAAAAAGATACAATAAAATTGGTGATGAAGGTGCATCAGGCTTAGGTTCTTCTTTAGCAAATTGCATTAATCTCTCAAATTTTACACTTGGCCTTATGTAAAAACATTTTATTTGTTTTGGATTGTGATATTTTAAATTATAAAAACTAATTAAAAACAATAAAGCTCTTTTTTCTTTTTCTTTTTATTGTGCTTGCTTTTTTTGTTCTTTCTTTGTTAATTTAGCTCATCATTTTATTTTCAACTTTTGCTTTTACTATTTATTTCTTATTTTTTCTTCATTTTTTCCTTCTAATTAACTATTTAATGAATGATATATTTTTTCTTTAATATTTAAAAAGTGAAAATTAAATTGGTGATACATACATACATACATACTCGCACATGGTGACATGCACTCGGGATAGGGGCCCTATATATAATTACTTATACATTATTATTATACGTATACCAATTTATTTATATATAATTGTGGGTAATATATTAGAAGGGAAGGGTCACCTACACCCTAATGGCATTTCTACTAATCTTCCATGACTTGACTACGCATTATGCTCGCTTCCCATTTGTATTCCAGATCTTCTGTTCAGAATGGGGCCTCCTCTTTACCACCTATCAGATTTGGCCCTTCCCTCCTACCAAGGAGACCGCTGGTAACATTCACATTTTTTACATGGAATTTTTCGAAATAAAGGGGGCGGTATAGGATTCGAACCCCCGATATCACTGCTAAGACCCTCCGACTCGCCCACTCGAGTCGCTTAGCCCTTCGTTTTTAAATTGGTGATGAAGGTGCATCAGGCTTAGGTTCTGCTTTAGCAAATTGCATTAATCTCTCAAATTTGACACTTGACCTTTGGTAAAAACATTTTATTTGTTTTGGATTGTGATATTTTAAATAAAAAAAACTAATTAAAAACAATAAAGCTCTTTTTTCATTTTGTTTTTATTGTGCTTGCTTTTTTTGTTCTTTCTTTGTTAATTTAGCTCATCATTTTATTTTCAACTTTTGCTTTTACTATTGATTTCTTATTATTTCATATTTTTTCTTCATTTTTTCCTTCTAATTAACTATTTAATGAATGATATATTTTTTCTTTAATATTTAAAAAGTTCTAATTAAATTGGTCCAATTGGTGCATCAGGCTTAGGTTCTGCTTTAGCAAATTGCATTAATCTCTAAAATTTGACACTTAAACTTGAGTAAAAACATTTTATTTGTTTTAGATTGTGATATTTTAAATTAAAAAAACTAATTAAAAACAATAAAGCTCTTTTTTCATTTTGTTTTTATTGTGCTTGCTTTTTTTGTTCTTTCTTTGTTTATTTAGCTCATCATTTTATTTTCAACTTTTGCTTTTACTATTTATTTCTTATTATTTCATATTTTTTCTTCATTTTTTCCTTCTAATTAACTATTTAATGATATATTTTTTCTTTAATATTTAAAAAGAAGGAATTAAATTGGTGATGAAGGTGCATCAAGCTTATGTTCTGCTTTAGCAAATTGCATTAATCTCTCAAATTTGAGACTTTACCTTGGGTAAAAACATTTTATTTGTTTTGGATTGTGATATTTTAAACTATAAAAATGAATATAAAACAAAAAAGCTCTTTAAATTTATTTGATAGATTTTATTTATTTTAATTTTTTATCTTTTTTATTCTACTAATATTATTTTATTTATTAATTTAAAGAATAATTTATAATTTAAAAGTTTATTCTATTTTGATATTTGTTAATAATTTACCCAAATTTATTATAAAAGTTATTACTCAATCTATGAATCAAAAAAATTCAAATTACTAAGCAAGTTTCTTAAATCAAAAAGATTAGTTGTCTTTGATTTCTGATGATAAACAACTGGTTAAAAAAGGAAGAATAAATATAAAATGTTTGAATAATATTATATATTTTATTATATAATATTTTGAAAAAGTGTTTTTAACCTAAAATATAAATAGATAGATAGATAGATTTTAATATTGATTTTATATTTACAAATATCATTCATATTTTTGTAAGTAAATTATTTATTTATAAAAAATAAAAAAATTAAATTTACTTAAATAAATTAAATCCTCAAAAGCAAATTCTCCAAAAACGATCAAATAATTTGAAACTTTTAATGTTATATTACATCTTATTAAATTATATAAATTCGAAAATTTTATATGCCAGTTATATTTTAATCTTAAATATTATACATCAATCATATTTCTATCCTTATTTTATTTATAATGTTTAATTAGATGCCAATATTTAAATAAAACCTTAGGGAGAAATCAAGTTTTACTTTTTAACTTTAGTGGTTTTAATGTTTTTTTTTAATTTATCTATGATCATTTTTTTCATTTTATATTTTTTAAAATCATAAAATAATTGTTTTTTAAATTATCATTTATTGATTCAGACAATACAAATTTAATTTTATTATTTAATAATATTTAGAGTAAATTAATGAATTTAAAAGTCGTTCATGTTGAATTTGGCTTTTTATAAGCTTATTTCATATCAAGGATTTATGTAATTTTTTTTAACACAATATTATAAATTTTAAAATGCTTATTTTATTTTTTATTAAAAAATTTTCTCAAAATATTCTAGAAAAATGCAAATCGGAGGTTTGGAAGTTTTGCTTTATCTTATCTATGGGTACTTTTGAAATAATTAAAATCCTTCTTTATCTTTTTAAATAAATGGGTCTTTTTTTCCTTCCCTCCATTTAAATAAAAGATTTCAGCCTTAGTGTGAAAATTTCCTTAATTTTAAATATGTTCATCGCATCTTTATTTTTTTATGCTTTTACTTAAAAACATTTTATTTGTTTTGGATTGTGATAATATTTAATTATAAAAACTAATTAAAAACAATAAAGCTCTTTTTTCTTTTTCTTTTATTGTGCTTGCTTTTTTTTGTTCTTTCTTTGTTAATTTAGCTAATCATTTTATTTTCAACTTTTACTTTTATTATTTATTTTTTATTATTTCATATTTTTTCTTCATTTTTCCTTCTAATTAACTATTTAATGATATATTTCTTCTTCAATATTTAAAAAGTGAAAATTCAATTGGTGATGAAGGTGCATCAGGCTTAGTTTCTGCTTTAGCAAATTGCATTAATCTCTCAAATTTGACACTTGACCTTAGGTAAAAACATTTTATTTGTTTTGGATTGTGATAATATTTAATTATAAAAACTAATTAAAAACAATAAAGCTCTTTTTTCTTTTTCTTTTTATTTTCTTGCTTCTTTTTTTGTTAATTTAGCTCATCATTTTATTTTCAACTTTTGCTTTTATTATTTATTTTTTATTATTTCATTTTTTTTCTTCATTTTTTCCTTCTAATTAACTATTTAATGATATATTTCTTCTTCAACTTTTAAAAAGTAGAAATTAAATTGGTGATGAAGATGCATCAGGCTTAGGTTTTGCATTAGCAAATTGCATTAATCTCTCAAATTTGACACTTGTCCTTGGGTAAAAACATTTTATTTGTTTTGAATTGTGATAATATTTAATTATAAAAACTAATTAAAAACAATAAAGCTCTTTTTTCTTTTTCTTTTTATTGTGCTTTCTTTTTTTTTGTTCTTTCTTTGTTAATTTAGCTCATCATTTTATTTTCAACTTTTACTTTTATTATTTATTTTTTATTATTTCATATTTTTTCTTCATTTTTCCTTCTAATTAACTATTTAATGATATATTTCTCCTTCAATATTTAAAAAGTGAAAATTCAATTGGTGATGAAGGTGCATCAGGCTTAGTTTCTGCTTTAGCAAATTGCATTAATCTCTCAAATTTGACACTTAACCTTAAGTAAAAACATTTTATTTGTTTTGGATTGTGATAATATTTAATTATAAAAACTAATTAAAAACAATAAAGCTCTTTTTTCTTTTTCTTTTTATTTTCTTGCTTCTTTTTTTGTTAATTTAGCTCATCATTTTATTTTCAACTTTTGCTTTTATTATTTATTTCTTATTATTTCATTTTTTTTCTTCATTTTTTCCTTCTAATTAACTATTTAATGATATATTTTTTCTTCAATTTTTAAAAAGTAGAAATTAAATTGGTGATGAAGGTGCATCAAGCTTAGGTTCTGCTTTAGCAAAATGCATTAATCTCACAAATTTGACACTTGACCTTAGGTAAAAACATTTTATTTGTTTTGGATTGTGATAATATTTAATTATAAAAACTAATTAAAAACAATAAAGCTCTTTTTTCTTTTTCTTTTTATTGTGCTTGCTTTTTTTGTTCTTTCTTTGTTAATTTAAAAATTCATCATTTTATTTCAACTTTTGCTTTTATTATTTATTTCTTATTATTTCATATTTTTTCTTCATTTTTTCCTTCTATTTAACTATTTAATTATATATTTTTTCTTCAATATTTAAAAAGTTGGAATGAAATTAGTGCAATTGGTGCATCAGGCTTAGGTTCTGCTTTAGCAAATTGCATTAATCTCTCAAATTTGACACTTGTCCTTGGGTAAAAACATTTTATTTGTTTTGGATTGTGATAATATTTAATTATAAAAACTAATTAAAAACAATAAAGCTCTTTTTTCTTTTTCTTTTTATTGTGCTTGCTTTTTTTTTGTTCTTTCTTTGTTAATTTAGCTCATCATTTTATTTTCAACTTTTACTTTTATTTTTTATTTATTTCTTATTATTTCATATTTTTTCTTCATTTTTCTTTCTAATTAACTATTTAATGATATATTTCTTCTTCAATATTTAAAAAGTGAAAATTAAATTGGTGATGAAGGTGCATCAGGCTTAGGTTCTGCTTTAGCAAATTGCATTAATCTGTCAAATTTGACACTTGACCTTAGGTAAAAACATTTTATTTGTTTTGGATTGTGATAATATTTAATTATAAAAACTAATTAATAACAATAAAGCTATTATTTCTTTTTCTTTTTATTGTGCTTGCTTCTTTTTTTGTTAATTTAGCTCATCATTTTATTTTCAACTTTTGCTTTTATTATTTATTTCTTATGATTTCATATTTTTTCTTCATTTTTCCTTCTAATTAACTATTTAATGATATATTTTTTCTTCAATATTTAAAAAGTAAGAATTAAATTGGTACAATTGGTGCATCAGGCTTAGGTTCTGCTATAGTAAATTGCATTAATCTCTCAAATTTGACACTTTACCTTTCGTAAAAACAGTTTATTTGTTTTGGATTGTGATATTTTAAACTATAAAAATGAATATAAAACAATAAAGCTCTTTGAATTTATTTAATAGTTTTATTTATTTTATTTTTTTATCTTTTTTATTCCACTAAAATTATTTTATTTATTAATTTAAAGAATAATTTATAATTTAAAAGTTTATTCTATTTTGATATTTATTTTAAAATTTACACAAATTTATTTTAAAATTTTTAGCGGTTTGAATAAATCATAAAAATTCAAAGTAATAAGCGAGTGTCGTAAATCAAAAAGATTAGTTGTCTTTTATTTCTAATGATAAGCAATTGGTGAAAAAAGAATGAATAAATATAAAATGTTTGAATAGTATTATATATCTTATTATATAATATTTTAAAAAAGTGTTTTTAACCTAAAATATGAATAGATAGATAGATAGATTTTATTATTGATTTTATATTTATAAATATCATTTATATTTTTGTAAGTAAATAAATTATTAAAAAAAAATAAAAAAATAAAATTTACATAAATAAATTAAATCCTCATAAGCAAACCCTCTGGTTTCTCCAAAAATGATGAAATAATTTGAAAGTTTTAGTGTTATATTACATTTTATTAAATTATATAAATACCAAACTTTTATATGCCAGTTATATTTTAATCTTAAATATTATCCATCAATCATATTTCTATCCTTTTTTTATTTATCATGATTAATTAGATGCCATAATTTAAATAAAACCTCAGAGAGATATCAAGTTTTAATTTTTATTTTAACTTTTGTGGTTTTAATGTTTTTTTTTTTCTCAAATTTTTAATTTATCTTATGATCATTTTTTTCATTTTATATTTTTTAAAATCATAAATTAATGTAAAGCTTTTTTCATATATTTTGA